GTAGTGGAGAGTGTCCCGCTCGGTGATATGTCCCGCTCGCTGATAAAGTACGTTAATCCTCGGGAAACAAGCTGCCCATATCATCCAGCTGTCGAGCAGATATGTCCTTCACCACGTAATCAACGCCAGCGCCCCTGTTCACAATGATCAACATCTCCTTCTCCTTCTCCCCTTTAGTCATGAGCTCGTCATCCTGGGGATAATACACGAGTTCCTGGGGGTCCCAATGTTGTTCAAATTTGACTCGTCTCGCTAGGTCAAACATGCCACCGTTGAACCTCGACTCAGTTGCCCGGTAGATCGTGACAGAAGGGGCCGAGGCTATGCCATCGCGTTTTTCTAGGATACGTTTCAAGCCACTGGGCTGTGGTTGCCATCTACTTTCGCCATCGGGCGTCCAGCCGCGCGTCTTTCCGCGAAACCCGAGCAGTTCGGAGCTGCGGTCAAGATATCGGAGCGTCTTCCATCCATCTCCGAGCTCGATAAGGCTTAGAAGGTCCATATAATTGCACCCAGACCAACTGCCGCCCAGAATCGTGAGCTGGTCAAGCTGCAGGCCGGGGAGGCGCCTCAAGGCATCGAATATGCTGTATCTGCAGTGTGTTTTGTTCCGTCCTTCGCATGGGAACAGAAATTTTTCACCGCTCATTCTCACGTGCCGTAACTTTGTGATCGTCTCAACAGGAAGGACGGAAAGCCTTTTGTACATTGTGTGGAGTCCTGGAAAGTAAAATAGGATGTGACGTAGCCAAGAGTCGCCGATTTCGAGACGGGCCCGTCGGCAGATGCGGAGCGCCGCAAGGCTATTGGGCGCGGGTGTGACATCGAGGAACTTGGAGACGGGGTATTCGATAAATCCAACGGCTATCCTGGTCGAAGAAAAGAGCTGGACCCAAACCAGGTTCCGGATTTCCTGCGGCAGTCTCCGGTAGAAAGAACTCTCCTTTTGCGGGTTGACATTGCCGTTCCCAGCCGGATTGATCTTTTCTGGTTGCCTCATCATCGCAGCCGTGGCGAAGCACACGCTAGAGGCTCCGATGGTGAAAACGCCGCAAAACCTTTTCGTGAACTTGGTTGTAAACTGGAAATGACAGCCCGAGGCCCCGAGGACCCGGATGGGAAGAAAGTGGTGATGGTCCACCCCACCTGGCCGCTCGCTCCATACAGTATTACAGTATGTACATGTACTGTAGCACAGTGCAACCAACGGACTTGGGACATGTTTTCCTTCCAAAAACCAACCATTTATTTCTCCAAACTCAAGTTCCCGGGACAGTGCTCTTTCCAATTGAGTTATAGCAAGGTATATACGTATGTATGTATTCCACCCCATTCCAACACCAACCAAACCCCACTACAGCCCATTACTCGCGCACGTAAAAACCCCGCCCACCGTTCCAGCCTCAAACTGCAGAATGATACTCTCCACCGTGGCATACGTCCCGACCGTCAGGAAAAACACGCCGATCAAGATGATCAGCACGTTGAGCGCGCCGAGAAGGTAGCTGGCGATGGTGTGCTGTTTTTCTGGGAGCAGCGAGACCGACCCGTCTGCGCGACGCATGCGGAAGTAGGCCACGCCCCAGAAGATGAAGCCGAAGAAGCTGTCGAAAAGGGAGCTCATAAGGGAGAGGACTAGGATGCGTTAGTGGGGTGACAATTGGGACAGTAGGATGGGCTATGGGAACTTACGGTCGGAGAAGAAGGGGATGACCTGTGCGATAATGAAGGCCAAAATCCAGGTAGCCACTACCAAGGTCAGTTCAGTATTCTCAATCGATTTCCAAGGAAGATAAGTACTCACGCAGAATGGAAGTCCAGGTCGCCCAGCCGACCAGGGTGTGCTCGCTCTTGTGGCGCGAGTTCTGGAAGATGCGGAAGAACACGAACCGCGCAGACACGGACGCGTACAAGACCCCGAGGAAGATGATGGTCGGGATCATGAACGAGAATGCCACCTTCTTGAACAGCGGCTCCAACGATCCGAACGCCGGGGCCGTCATGTACTGGTTGCCCACATACGCATACACCACCGCGCCGACAATGCTGAACAAGATAATCTCGGCGATCGTGCACGCCCACAACGCCTTGGGGAAGTCGCGTGGGTCGCGCATCTCGGCGATGAACGACGGCAGCGTGATCTGCCCGATGAAAGTGTAGCTGATGTTGAGGAAGGCACCCAGGCCGTTGACAAAGGTGGTGCTGGGCAGCGGGATGGCCGTCACGATGGGCTTAGTGCCGTCGAACCCGGCGGGCTGGCTCTGGATCGCGGCGAAGATGGTGGCGAGCAGGACGGAAATAAACGTGAAGAAGGCCGAACCGGTGCCGAGCTTAGACAAGGCGTCGAATGTGCGGGGCAGCGAGCAGAGCCAGCAGACGACAGTCACCACGATGCCGAAGCTGACGGTGCGGCAGCCGACGTAGTCAGCCTCGGCCATGGTGTTCAGGTACTTGGCGCCTACAAGCACGTGGAGGCCCTGGATGAACTGTTGGGTTCTATGTCAGCGGTGGAGTCCTGGAACGAAGAAGGATTAGAGGGCTTACAGTGTTGTTCAAGAGGAACATCACCGCGGTGGCCCACCACGCCCATTTCTTGTTCCAAAATAGCATCTGGCCGATGTCGCAAACATCTCGGACTTCAGGGTGGCGAAGGCAAAACTCCCACAGTACCAAGGACCTATCAGGAGGTAAATCAGACCCATGGCGCAAAGAAAGCAGAGTATCGGGCAAGTCTCACGTATAGAGGACAATGCCAGAGACGACCACGGTCAAAATAAGGCTATGATGCGTGTTAGCGGACGAACTATCATCATTCTCGGCGTTCAAAAGTCTAGAACTTACTCAGGGACCAAGCCAAGCACGCTATAAGACCACGGGAAACTCATGATCGCCTGTGGCGCAAACACATCCAGCAATCAGCATCCAGTACCTCCAGCACAAGATCGCCAAGCAAAGCTTGAGGGGTTCTTGGCTACCTACCAAGCAAATGTACTCGGAAAAGAGTAGCGCGGCAGTCTGTAAAGTTGGCACAACATGTTAACGTCGTCCGTCCCATTCGAACCCGGAAAATCACCATCCACTCAAAACCAAGGATGCACATACCTTTTGCCAGCTACACGTTCGATACTGAATGGCGGCCCCATCTTCTGCAGCAAGCTGCTTGTCCAAGATCGCTGAGCCGCTCAGGTCGGTTTCCGAATCTCCCCCCGAGATGCTGTCTAGGACGGGCCCAATGCGCGGCCCAATGACAACATTACGGCCGCCAAACCACGACGACCAGCCCGTCGGCGACGGCACGGCGCTGCCGGCCACGGAGGCCTGCCGCTCTTTTTGGAGCTGCTCTTCATGTCGCTCGCGGCCCTCATCGATGTTGGCGGCTCGCTTCTCGTCTGCCGACGCCGCGCCCTCCTCGGGAGAGTGTTGTCGCGACATGGTTGCTGCGGCGCTGTTATGAGTGATCGTCGTCGTCGCGCGCGCGGGGGGGCGGGGGTCAGTTGTTGTTAGTGGGAGCCCGGACGGAGTCGCAGGCGTTGTCCCTCCGGAAAGTTGACAATCACGATCGATTGACAAATGCGACGGGTGGAGAGGGATATGTCTCACAACGAAGTGTCGGACAGGGAAATAATAACAAAAAAAAAGTATGTAAGAGAAGAGAGAGCTGCGAATCCTCCAACGCCGTCACAGTCACTCGCGAAACCTCGGCAGGCAATTGTTGGCTGCACTCAAGGGGTTCAACGTAACGTCAACAGGGACAGAAAGACAAAAAGTGGGTATTGTCAATCGGGACCGAGAGCAATCGAGCGAATCGAACCATCAGACCTTGGAATCACGCCTTCTGCGCTAAACGGTAACGGTCGTCGAGGGACGTGGGATTTATCAAGGATTCCGCCCACGCGGGACGCGGGCAACTGTGGGTTTGCCAGTCACTGCAGCGTGAACTCCCGAATCCTCGGGGCTCACCGAAGCCCAGGTAAGGTTCACCATTGGGCTGCAGCGGGTTGAGCGGCATGGCCGCTGCACCTCTTGCATGTCCTACCTTGCCTGCCTTGCCTGTCGTCAACGCGGGGGCCCAAATCCGATGGGGAGGGGGTTTCCATGCGAGCAGGCTCTGCAACCCCGTCACTCCATGCCATGCGAACAAATCCGCCATCAGGGAAACGCGTGGGATGACATCCCGGTCTGCATGGCTTTTTTTACACTGGGAGGGCGTCAAATGCGGCCGGCCGAAAAGGCCCGGGTGGCTTGAAGTTGGGCCGATTCAAGCTGGGAAAAATATTTGCTGTTTTCTCGGACTCAACGCCTGGTTCCTGACGAGTAACTATCCCTCATCTTCTTCCATTGTTCAGATGGTCAAAGTTGAGCTGAACGACGGGACAGGCGAAAATGGGACGGGGCAAGTCGGGACCACGTTTCAAGGTTGCGGAGCCTTGTCAGGGGCATTGGTGACGTCAGAGCATGCAGAACCTTCGCCGACTACGTGCTGCACCTTTCATTCTCAACAGCTGTCGGAGATAAGGGGTTTCTTCTCGTGAGAAAACCCAGGTGGGGGTACGACCAAGAGAAGCTGGGAGCTGAGGGATGGAAAAGGACGGATCGAGTTCAGCTATTAATTACAATTTAGCGCTCTTGTTTAAGCAACCTCTCCGATGGAAGTCCGAGCCCCTTGGTCCGAGGCCAAGCGGCAAGCTCATTGTGACAGGATCGTGAGAATTGGGAATTAGAAGATTCGAGTTAAGGTCGAGCATCGCTGTGGCCCTTAAAATACCACGCTGCAGACCAGGTTTGAGCAACGGGTTTCGACGGCTTTTCATGGAACTAATTAGAACACAATCGTGATCTGTAATTACCAAAAGTCATGGTTGCTAGATGTTTCTAAATCAACTGGACTCCTAATGTCACTCGCGATGAGTGACCTGATACCATAATTCTCAAGAGACCACGAGAATCTGAAACGCAGCAAGAGAGCATTCACTTTTGCTTGACGCCTCGAGCGCAACCAGTGTCCTCCGGAAGTCGGAATGATTATGCCTTTCGTACCTGAGTATAATTATTAAGTTCACGGAAGAATGATGATCATATACGACCGCGAGAAAGAAAATAAAAGAATACAGATTATGGATATGAATCAGACTAACTAATCACAGGTTGAAGGGGTCGTGAGAGTTAGACCCAGATGAATCAAGAATCGGTCAAAATGTGATGTGTACCCAAAGTTATTAAAACGAAAAGAAAAAGAAGAGAATAAAGCAGTAAAAACAGCAAAGGATGAGAAGTGGTAGACAAGTCATAGAATTACGGCTACCATCAACTCAGGAAAAGGAGATGACTGTTAATCCCAGTATCCCAACATTCTTTCTCGCACCGACACTAAGTATCTAGAAGCCTTGATGTTGCGCATCGTCCCAGCTTCCATCCCCTTCCCCCCTGAGACACATCTTGGAGGTGGGTCTGATCATGACACGGAGGACATCAACCTAGGTCTCTTTCGACCAGTGTTCGGCAGCGTGTGTTGCCTCGTTACTCTGCCAGCCCCGACTCGGTTGACGCTGCGCTGGCTTCTTCCACAGACACCAAGCTCAGCCTTCTCTCCACACATAACGGCAATGCTGCTGTGTGTGCAAGACCAAACTAATAAATGACGTCTGTTCATGCCATTGGGATCTCAACCCAGGCGGCCAGCCCCTTGGACAGAATCTAATTAATCAACACACACAACACATTCAACATGGAAGTCTTGTTTCATAGAATCAAGAGGCTTGACTTATTATTACGACCATGCTAGGGTCTCAGATTGGAATACGACACGTATTGCGAGACTATCTAGAGCTGGCTTAATTCTAAGTACCAGATCCAAGTCTGTGAGAAGAGGGAAGAATCTCGTCAAAGACTCAAAGGTGCCTTCAATCTCCAGCCCTGGCTCTAAGTACATGGTCTCCTAGTGTTAACACGAGGCTTGCAATAGCTTCATCTTGTTACGAATTTGGCACTGGATTGATCGTCGGCCTTAGGTTTTAGTTAATTGGACGTCTATTAAAATACATCGCGATGGTCAATTAGGGACTGCCAACGGCATATTGTTCACCTTACGGAAAATGATACCAGTATTTTAATTATTCAGAGTAAGAAAAAAGTCAAAAAGCTCACTGCCCCATCATCTCAGCCCCCCGAGGGGGGTTAAGGAATGGGGGTCGGTTACGAAAAACCCGGTGGTTTTTTCTTCGGCCGGCGCAGCACACAGGATTTGAACCCTAAGGCTTTGCTTTCGTGGTGTACCATTTGGACGCCCACGGCTCCCCCAAATACGCCATTCGGCCGTAGCCGGTTTATTGGGGGAGCGGTTAGCAGGAACAACGGAGAAGTGGGTTATAAAGGGCCCGGGTTGGGGAGAGAAAGGAAGGAAGGAACGATGTTTGTTCTTCTGGGGATTGTCTACTTCCCCAGCACTCTGTCCTTAACTTTTTCGGTACCCGGAGTTTAATCGTAACACCCTGAGTCAAACAAACTCCAAACAGGGTGGAACTGAGTAAGCCTTAATGTGCTGAGTTTCTCTTGTTTTAATAATACCGGATTCAATTCCTATCAATTTCTCACCTTTGCTTCCCAGGTCACAGTTTGAGTAGCGTCGCCCTACCTCAATGTTTCCTTGACTTTAACCCGTCCACAACGAAAAAATTTCTTAAACAACTTCAACATTGCCGACATTCTTTGCATTGATATTAGGTGGTTGCACATGCTGCCTCGTATGAGCCCCGGTCTCCTTTAGCCGGGGGAACGTCGTTCACCGGCACCAGAAAATCAGATGAACCTAAGAACGCGGCGTTGTCAATGTTTTGCAGGTTCGGGGGACCTGGGCCGGCATTTCATCTCTCGCTACCTGGGCCAAACACGTTAACATATGAGCATGCCATTGTTGGTCTCGATATTATTGCTAACAACCTTGTTGACCTTTGTGCCGTCTCTTACCATGACTTTCCTGCCCCTCATCGTACAGTTGCACCGAGACATATTTCTGATTCGGGGATTAGACATGCGAACAAGGAGAAGCATGGTCAACGAGTCATCAAGAAACGAAACGAACAAGAGAAAAGGGACAGGAGATAAATGCTTAGAGTTGGGTCAAGCCTATGTAGACTTGAAGCTATGCTTTGTTGTTTTCTGGGATTCGCTCAAGTCGATAAAACAAGCTCTAAAACGAAGCCTGTAATCCTTAGATCCTCAATGGTGCAAATGAGCTAGTGAGCTTCATTTATTAGATCGTTAATTCATCCCGGTCTCCGACTAGGCCCGCGCTCTGCCTTAGGGCTCGCCGTACGAAAGGAGCTGGCACTAACTAGTTGATCCCGGCCACTGTCGCCTCTCCAAGAGTAAACTCGGCGGGACACATTGCCTTTGTCTCAATAACGCTTCTCGTTTCTCACACACTGCTGTTTATCCAACAGCACATACATAACATTGAAAATCAAGTGAGACAATACAACATCTTCAATGCTTCATTTCTCAAAACAGTCATTATAGTCATTATCTCAGCCTCTTCCTTATCACATGAGACTCATACCGATGAGGGTTCGTTCCCTTTCATCATCATATGATCTGTTACCTTGCTTACCCTGCGCTCATACCTTTGCCTTCCACGACCTTAACCCCAACCTCAACAAATTCATCTTCATCGACCTACCCACCTTCTTTCCCATCCCCGTCATCGACACCGCCCTCTTCCCCTTGTCACCGCCTCCATTACCGTTGGCTGCATCCACAACCTCCTTCCCAAAATGATCCAACATATTCTCAAACAATGTCTTATTCCCCAGCACATCCCCCAACGTATCCAAGATCGGCAGCTTCGTCTGCCCATGATCGCCACCCCCCTGCAACACCCCACTCAACACATCCAGCAACAGACTCGTGACGGGAACCCGAAACGGGATCCGCTTGTTGTTCAACACACCCTCCGAGTACGCGATTCGTTTTCCGTTGTAGAATGTCGAGTTCCCAGACGTGTGCAGTTCCAGCATCCCGTCGGCGAGCGCGGCTTCCTGCGTTTTCAGAATTGCGGAGAGGTTGGGGACCAGCTGGTCGAAGTAGAATTCGCCGTAGAAGGGGGGGCTGTTGTTCCCTGGTGCGAGGTAGAGGTTGTCGATGTGTACTAGGCCCAGGTTGATGTCACCGGCGAGAATGTTGAACGAGACGTTGCCCATCCCTAACCCGACGACACCCGCGTTGGGGATGGTTAGATGCCCGTTCATGTTGTACCCCGACGCGGGAGGCGGGATGGTGAATGACATGTCGACGACGCCGAAGCCCTTGAGGTAGTTGAGGCCGGGCACGCGGATGGTTTTGTCCATGTCGACGGTGTAGTGGAGGGAGCCGAGGTGGAGGCTCATGTCGTGAGCTTTGATGCGGAGTTGGAGTTCGGGTTCGTCGAAGAATTTGTTGAACCAGCGGATGAGCTGGGGTTTGTCGGTGATGGTGGTCAGGCGGTCGGGGATGCTGACGTTGGTGGCGTGGTTGATGTAGCTGCCGGGCATTTGAAGGGTGAGGAAGGGATTGGGAGGGCCATCGTCGCCGGTGGTGTTGGAGGGGGGTTCGTACAGGGCGAGGGGGAGGGTGTCGATGTTGACGGGTAAGGGGGTGTCGAGGGAAGTGTCGAGGGTGATGTGCAGGCGGTCGGGCTCGGTGAAGTTGAGCGCGCCGGTGGTGATGGGGAGGTCTTGTTTGTCGACGATGCTTTTGATGATGGCGGGGATGATGACTTTGAATCTGGGCGTTGTTAGTCTCCGGGTCCTTTCACTTTGCCAACGGTCGTCTCGCAAGACGGGAGATGGAACTCACAAGATCGGAAGCAGAATAATCAACAACACGGCCGCAACAATGGCGTGTACCCACCACCACCGCTTGAAGTGTGCCTTCACCTTTTGTCCCTTAGTTAAGGGCGCTGCCTGTGCCTTTTCGTTGACACCGTCGTCTACCGACGAGGCATCGTCGAGTGTGTTTTCTGGCCGCGGTGCACCTGCTGCTCCGTGTGCTGTTGAGGGGTCGACCCCCTTGTGTGTTGAGCCGGCCATCTTAAACTGCGGGCGGTGTCTCTGTGTTTTGGGTGGATGGATCAAGGCGAAACAGACCGTGATAACCCAGACAAAGTTGAGATGAACAATCTAGAGTTCACCAGGGCGGTCTGTTGCAATAAGACAAGGAGAACGGAAGTGATATGGCAAGACAGCAGGGTGAGGAAGTGAGATTGGGCGGGTCAAGTCAACCAAGCTGCACCGACTGTTGTTATTCTCAGACTCGATGCTCACTAGTCAGTTTGCTAGTGTATGTATCCTGTTCTCCCACGCCGTCGGAACCTCAGCTGGATTTGAACGGGCAAGGTCGTGGCTGGGCTGGGGTCCTCCGAGTTAATGGTGTGGAATCCGGGCCGTATCGGTGGATGAGCGAGCAGAACAGACTACAACTACAGTGGAGATGGACGTCACTTGAGGAAGCCAAAATCCAAAAATTCGAACGAGTAACACACCCAGAGCAAGGCTGCTCTCATGACTCCCCATGTCCCCATCCGTTTAATCCCACCCCGTTTCCTTGGAATGCGGGGGAAAAACTGGGGTAACAAAATCTGGGGCATTCCGCACTGACGGGCGTAGTCGGAGCTATTGATGTTCATCTCATCATCTGGCTCGTCTGGGTAGGTCTTCTTGTTTGCAACAAGGCGAGCACAAGCACTGCAAGCACCTGAGCTTCGGGTCCAGAACTCCCAGGGAGCTCCCCAGCGGAGAGGCTAGCTATGACGCTCTCCCGGCGAACGCCCCGGATCCGGTTAAGCTTGCGATGAACCGACGACGGGGGGAGGGGGTGTGAACAACAGTTTGGTTACATTGTTGACCAACAACTCCCGAATGTTGGGTATTCGGAGGCGGGGAACGTGGAGAGCATGGCTCGCATGGAGCATGGGTGGGCCGTTGATCTCTCTGACTTTTTTTTTACGTGTACACTGTTCTTGATTCTTTTGGATCCATTGTGAGTGGACAGACCATTCACGATTGTTCAAGAATCTGAGGAGGATTCCGTCCGGATTCTCCCCACATTCCCATAAATATCCCTGTTCACTTCCCCGCACCCATGCCGAGGCAGTTGACCAGGGGGGAAGGTCTGGGGAAATGTGGGCAGGCTAGCGATTTGCTGGGGCCTGGCTGTTCCGTGGGAATGGCGTGCAGGTTCCGCTTTCGGCGAGATCGAGGTGTAAATCGGGTGTTGGTGAGGTTGCAGAACAAGTTTTTGTGCGCAACTGGACCTGGCCTCGGCTATATTATTTGCCATCGCGATTCTGCATGTGAGGATGTGCATTGGGAGCTTTGGGCGTAATGTGCTTCAGTTTGGTGATTGAATGTTGGGTTGGTGGTTTAGGGTTTTGGCGTCTTGGTGAGCAGATCCAGGACGAAGACTCAAGTGGAAATTTCGATATTTTGATAGTTTGATAGAAGTTGTTTCATTTCTCATCGCCAGCTTCATTACAGAGACATTAACTACGTAACCCGTATCCAGGACCATGTATCCCATGAACGTTGTCCTCCTCGCATGTCCCATCATATGTATCTCCCAACAAAAACAGATGTCCCCCTTACTTGCCCACAAACTCCTTGAGCACAGCATGCACAAGATCCGCAACCGTAGCCACAAGCTATCACATCGTTAGCAATTAATCATCATCTCAACTCGTAGACAATAAAGGGGAACAGGGGGAGAAAACTTACCGGCGTAGCATCATCAATCAACTCCGAAGTCTGCGTCACAAACGACTGATTCAACAACAACACCGCATTCGTCAACAACCCCACAATCCCCTTGACACTCTCCGGCGTCAGCACGGGCTTCAACTGCTTCACAATCCCCTCCATATCCACCTCCTTCAGCGCCGCCAACAACGGCTTGACCGACTTCAACAACCCGCCCAAATCCATGCCGTTCAGCTCCTTCAACAACGGCTCCACCGTCTTCAACAACCCGTCAATATCCACATCCTTGAGTGCGTCCAGAAGCGGCACCGCATCGCCGATGAGGGTTTGCGTCTGGTTGACAAAGTTGCGCGTCAATAACGCCTCGCCGTTGTCAAGCAGCGTGACTAGACCGTGCATGGACTTGGCCGTCAACAGGGGGGATACCGCGTCAAGAATAGACTTGAGGTCGATGGTCTCAAGCTCGGAGAGCAACGGGGTAATCTGCTTGACCAGCTTCGCCAAGTCGAGCTTGCTGACTTCCGTAAGCAACGGCGATAACTGCTTGAGCAAAGGTGAGATTTGCTTGACAAGCGCGCCGAGGTCGATTTCGCCCAAGGCATCGAGCAGGGGCTTGAGCTGCTTGATGAGGCCTGCGATATTGACGTCGGAGAGTGCGGCCAAGAGCGGTGCGGCATCGCCGATGAGGCCCTTGGTGCTGTGGACAAAGTCCGTGCTGAGGAGGTCTTCCGCGTTGTTCAGGAGGCCGATGATGCCCTTCATAGATTCGGGTTTGAGGAGCGGGTCGAGAGCCTTGAGGATGCCGGCGAGGTCGAGCTTGCCGACTTCGTCTAGGAGGGGACCGGCCTTTTCGAGTAGGGGACCGGCGGATTTGAGCAGGTTGTTGATGTTCTTGACGTTGTCGCCTGTGAGGAGGTTCTCGGCATTGCCCAGCAGGGTTACGAGACCCTTAATGGACTCGGGCTTGAGGAGCGGCGCAAGAGAGTCGAGCAAGCCGGCGATGTCGATTTCGCCGAGTTTGTCGAGCAACGGTCCAGCCGACTTGAGCAAGCCGTTGAGCTTCTTCACATTATCGGCCGACAAGAGGGTCTCAGCGTTGGTCAAGAGAGTGACAAGGCCCTTGATGGACTCGGGCTTAAGCAGCGGCGAGAGCGAATCCAGCAGACCCGCCAAGTCGATATCACCCAGCTTGTCAAGAAGCGGGCCAACCTTCTGAAGCAGCGGGCCAGCCGACTTGAGCAGAGCGTTGATGCTCTTGACGTTCTCGCCCGACAACAACGTCTCAGCGTTGTTCAACAGCCCCACCAAGCCCTGGATCGACTCCGGCTTCAGCAGCGGATCCAACGCCTTGATAATCCCCTCAAGATCCAAATCACCCAGCTTATCCAGCAGCGGGCCAACCTTTTGCAACAACGGACCCGCGCTCTTCAACAACCCATTCAGGTTCTTCACGTTCTCCCCAGACAACAACGTCTCCGCGTTGCCCAACAACGTCACAATCCCCTTGATCTGCTCTTCCGTCAACAACGGCTTCACGGCCTTCAACACACCCGCCAAGTCCAGATCACCCAGCTCCTTCAGCAACGGCTCCAGTTGATCCAACAGGCCCTTGAGGTCAAGCTTGCTGAGCATATCCAGTAGCGGGCTGCCCTTCTTAAGCAGGTTCTGAATTAGCGCCGGCGCGGGCGGCTGCAGCGACTGACCAAGGTAAACCATAGAGTCGTGGAAACCCTTGAGGAACTCAGCCGTCAACAGATCAGTCAGCGCCTTGATCAAGTCACCGATCCCATCCAACCCATCCAGCAACCCATTGGAGCCGAGAAGGTTAGGGATAACAGGCGCCGCGCGGTTGCCCGCTCCCCCATCGTCATGTCCGGATTCACCAGCCCCGGGGGATGTTATTGTGGCAGTGGGGTGGGAACTGTTGTTTTGCCGCGCGTACTTGGGCGCGCCGAAGAGTTGGCGGGTTTGGAGTTGTTGGGCTTTGAGGAGGGAGGTGAGTTCCGAGAGCACGTCGGTGAGTTCGGATTTGGGTACTAGGGCGAGGTTGTGCTTCTCGAGCAGGGCTGCGAGATCGTTGGGGACTAGTTCTGGGGCTGATAGGATGGGCTCCTTGGCTAGTAGGCCCACGGGCCCAGTGGCCGCGAGCAGAAGGGTGCTGAGGCGCATTGTGTTTGTTGTGTTGTGTTTGTTGTGTTGTGTTGAGTGAGGTGTTTGTTGACTAGACTACGGCGAGGATGAGAGGCTCGACGTGTCTCACACGCTCAGATAGCGTGCCGGGGTGGTGGACAGGGCGGTGAGGTGAACCCCATACAGAAAGCCCTGTTGAGAAAGAGGCTGAAGAAAAAGGGAAGTCCCAAAACGGACCGGGATGATGATGACAATGATGGGTTGACAATGATGGGTTGACAAAGACAAAATCTCCAAGAGGGAGGGAACACAACAAGAGCCAAAAAGTCAGGGACCTCGCCGAGTTTAATTCTCACAGTCCCAGCCAGTGACGACCGTCGAGTTGAACGTTAGGTAAGTGTCCACTGCTACTGCTGCGCGGGTCAATTCAGGACTCCATTGTTTCCCAGAAAAAAACACCAACCGGGTTGGTTTAAGCTTGATCTCCCCATGTCGTCGTATTCTCGTCCCGTGGTCATGGCAGCCTCTCAGCACAACAAGCTCTGCACTCCAAGCCAAGCAGCAGGCCCGATCCGACGCCCACCGGAGGAGGGGGAGTGAGAGGGTGTGAATTGGGAACTTGTGGAGTTGTGGAGTTGTGGAGGTGTGGAGGGTTACTTCGCATCGGAGCTTTGGACATGTCTGTGCGAATTTCTCCAACTTCCCGCCCAGGGAGGTGTCCGTGTATCCTGTCTGTTTGCAGAGGCAAGAGAAGGCCCTGTCAGAGTTGCCGCTTCCCCTCATGGCAACCCGCGCGGGGCACACCCTGGTGTTGCAGGGTTGACGGCACGCAATCTGGGGTAAGGATCCGTAGCGGCATCCACTTTGCACTGCACAAGTTGCTGAAAAAGTCCACCTTCTTGTCTTTTTGCGGTCAATTCTTGGCTGGCGGTGTGGTTCTGCCCCACGAGTTGACCTCATTGCGCCGAGCAGTCCTTTCCAAGCCGCCAGCCTTCCCTTTGAAGAACGCTGTCTTGAACGGTCTTCCCTGCAAGGCTGCCATCATCCGAACACCCAAAATTGTGCTCAACCTCAGGGCCGTTCTGTTCTGCTGCCTGCAAGACAATACAATTTCCCTCGCACACCCTCGATGGCTTTGCCGTTTGATGCTCGGTCCTGTAATGCCGCGGGTGGCAACTAAAGGACCAACCTCTTGGGTTAGGAGTCTGAGGACTCACCCAAGTCACTCTAGACTGGCGGGACTGGCTCGCTGCCCTTCCGATCCGAACTTCGGCGGTCCGCGCTGCTGGGCCGACCCAGTTCTTGCCGAACGCCAATCGCAGCGGGGCTAGTTACCCAATAGCGTAATCCTTCTTCCAGTCGCCACTATTGATTGACGATAACCTTTTGTGGGCATTTTTGCGAGGACCGATCCTCGATGGCTTCGATGCTTGTGCCTCCGAGAACATGTGCTACCGAGCTAGAAAGGACGAGATGTTCCTGTTGCTGGGTCTCTTGTTGGATGCCGAGGGGTGAGTAACAGCAGCATGGTCTAGTGGTTGTTGGTCATGTCCTTGGTCATGATATGAGTTGACTGTTACCGATCCCGAGTTAATTAAACAAACAAGAAGGTAAGGAAATGTTAGAACACGCAAGAAAGAAATACATCCGAACTCAAGACGCCGCAGTGTAATCAATGTCTCCCTTTGGCCCAATGACACCCACACGGTGATAATACGTCCTCGCCCTCACAAACGGATCAAGCCTCCAAAAGGTCTCACTCAACCTGCCCGCCAACCGCTTTCTTTCCTCCTGCTTCTCCGTCGCCTCAGCCGACCCAGGCTTGGTGGCCACCCACTCGAGCGTAAGTTGCTCAAACTGCCCGATCAGGTCCCGGCGCTCGGCTTCGAACAGCTCCTTCTTCTCGGCCGACCGCATCACCTTATTCTCGCCCGCGGTCGGCGGAACGTAGCTGTACTCCCAGGTGTCTTTACCCCCGGAGTGAGACTGCAGGATCTCGGGCGCGATGTAAGCGGTTAGGCCGGTGGTCCCGCTGGTGAAGTTGATTTTGGACGCGATGACGGGGTCGAGCCAGGGCTTGATGATGCTCCAGGCGCCTGCGAGGACGAGTTATAGTCAGCATCTCGTGTCAAGGATGTGATAGTAGACAAAAGGCTCCACTGGAAAAAGAGAAAACAGAGAAACTCACCGTAAAACACAAACGGCGCATTGTGAATCAGCACCACCCCCAAATACTCCGGATACCGTGCCTCAAACACCTGCGCCAAAAACCGCACAACATGAAAGTCCATGTTCCGCAACCCAAACCCACTCAGGTCAAACACCAAACACGCCCGCTCAGCCTGCGAGCCCCCAATCATAACCCTGATCGTCTCAATCGTATGCAACACAAACCGCTCCATCGCCTCCGTCGTCTGCTTCTTCGGATCATGCAACTTGACCCTCACCACAAACACCACTCTCCCTTCCCGATCCGTCCCACGCACATAACATTTCCCTGACTGATACTGCGCCAGAAACTGTTTCTGTTCCTCCGTCTGCTCCTCCTCCGGCAGCCCCTGGTTGCTGCTCGAAGCCGAGGGGCGCCGCTCCAATTCCCCATCCCCATTCACCTCCACAACAGCAGCAAACCCATCCCCCTCGCGTACCACATCCTCCTCCACGCGCTGCTGCTGCCTCCACCCGAGCGCATCGACCAACATATTCGTCGCGCGGTCCACATCCCATTTCCGGGCGCGCAAAAACCTTAGCACGGCCACGTCCGGGTGGTCAGCTTGGATCAGACCCCATAGCGCGCGACGGACGCCGTCGGCCGAGGGGTCGGACCCGGCTGCGCTGGGGAGGTGGTGCTCTTGCAGGTCGCGGGTGCGGTTGGGGATGGAGGAGAAGGTGGTGGTTGCTGTGGTGGTGGTGGGGCCGTTGTTGATGCCGCAGAGGCGGAGGAGGTGGATCCAGGTTTGTTGGAGGAGGAGGGTTTCGGAGGGGGTGAGGGTGTTGATGTGGCCTGGGAGGGCGGACATGATGGGTGGGCGCGTAATTATGTTGTTGGAGTTTTAGGTTGTGTGGTTGTTGTTGTGATGTTTGTTGTTGTTGGGGTCGTTGAGATTTAATCAAAATGTGTTGTCAAGGTAAGACACGCACGGTGAGATATCGATTAAATTAGCGACAATAACTGGCTGTTGAAACCCGCATCGTGTTGGGGGAATGCAGACGCATGACATCAAGCACGCGACAAACGACACAAAAATACCCTGGGCGAGGCCACAGGCGGCCTCCAACTTAACCTCCAACTTGGCCGTGATCATCACCACGCCAAAATAGCGTCCTCAATGCCAATTCAAGATCCCAAGGCCACCAAGACGATTGCTGACTGAGTACTGCAAGCAAGCAACTGGGATAACCCATCCCGAAACTACAATCTGGAATTGACATCGTCCACAGCAATTGACATCCTTTTCCCAACTCACAAGGCAAAATACCCCGCATAAACTTGCAATCACAGTAACCCAACTCTCGGAAGCCAACCCCAAATGTGGATGGTTCGACGTCTAAGTTATCCCAATAGCTGGTAAATCCAACCCTCCATTTCATTCCACCTACACTACACTCTCAACCCGCCTTTACAGAACACCACCAACACCTGCATCAACCGTGCTGCCGTGTTGTGTCGGCAGTAGTGTAGGGTCAGAAATGCAAGAAACCCCAGAATGGAATCCAGGTCCTCAAAAATGTCGCCCCACCAACGGCGCTGATCCCTGTGACGTCCTGCACCCCGCACGCTGCGCGACGATCTCATCCGGGCCTTCAGGGCGTTGGGTGTGTGGGGAACCAGGGCAAGTCGGGAAGGCGTCGAGTGCCAGACCCACCCCCGCCATCCCGGGTCACCAACACCCCGTGGGGAAATCCTTCTTGACGGAGCGAAGGGGGTTGGAATATCACGGGCAGTCTGGGGAAGCGGGGGAATCCGGGTCACCAAGTCACTTTGTCGGGTTGAGGGATTTCGCTCGGGAGGATGGACTCGGAAAGGTATTATTGTTCGGGAAGGAAGATCTGGAATTGATATGTGGATGTAGGTGCTCGGGATGATCTGTGGTCTTGCGTTTGGCAACGGTGATGCATGAAGTGTGCATGTGAAGAGGGGTTTTGGACGTTGAGATTTGAGAAACCGAGGAAGGCCGTTGGAATCACGAATGCGGGGTAAGGTCGGTGAAACACCACGAGAAGGAGCCGAGACATGTACCTCGTACCTGGATCCGGAATGTTCACCGACTCGCGTTTTTTCAGATGAGACCAACACAACTTTCGGGTGGATGAATCGTAACTCGTTCCTTTCTCGTATATTCTGAGCTATGAAAGCTGACCCAGGGAGCCTTCTCAGGACCCCACCAACCCTCGCAACCCTCGCAAGCCTCACCCGGCCGTGCCCCGAAATAACACACCGTCCAGTCCGGACCGGCAGTAGTCGGACACTAACGGAAGCTACCCCGCGCTCCCCTCTTCAAGATGTGGGTTAAGACATGCTTGACGAAGACGCCCAACATGTGTCCTCGACCTCGGCAGACTCCATATCCGACTTCTCCCTCCATGATGCCCCCGGATCAGCCTTCTCCCAGCCGTCTAAACATGGGACCGAAGTACACTACCCACGGTACCAACCACCATGTCCGTCACAACCCTTCCATTCTCCAACCCCTAACGGCTGCACACTGACGTCGGCGGCTCGTTGTTGGACATGTCCTCTTTGACATCCTCAGAGTGGGTTCAGCCCATGCAAGGGCCTGATCCGTACCACACAACACCGTTTGCTGGTTCTAATGGGCAGTCGGTCGGTCGACGAGGTGATTGGTTGGTGAGGGGGTTTGTCGTCGAGAGATTGTGAGAGGGGAGTTGTTGAATCGGATTTGGGCAGTCGTCTTGTCTGGTGTTGTCGTAACGAAAGATCTTGTTGTCGAGACACCACCAACCCCCTTTGTTTTAACTTCCCTAAACATAGAGCTTGTTTTCTCAAACTCCAACACCAACCCTAACCCCGACCTCTTGACTCCATCGGGCTTGTCGTTCGTGGTGGTGTTCGTTATGCTTGCTGTCTTCGGCCGGTGGGCGTGAGTCCCTCCAGCAGGTCTTCCAAGGTTCCTGCAAGGGGCGGTGGTGGTTTGGGGAGTGCTGAACAGAAGGAGCCACAGCGCGGACGAGCTGGCGCGGAGAAGACACCGGACTTGGGAGGGACCGTGGTCGTCGTCATGGATCTTCTGCTCCAGCTTCAACGCTCCCCGGCCCTCTTCCAACGAAACCCATATCCCACCCAGGCTTATGTTGTTTATCCCATCCGGCCGTGTTGTTCAGCGGTGGGTGTGAGTTGATGCTATGCCCTAACAGCGTGGTTGTTGACTTTGCTCAGGGGGGCGGGCCCTGGATCAGCCATCTCCCTGAGTTGTCCATGGGCTCGAACTCAGGCGGACAAGTGGACGGAGTCCTGCTTGTGTTTCAAAATCCTCTCTCATAATATTTTTCTGGTGGTGATGATAGATGTGAAGGAGTTATCCGCTTCATAAACTCTTCCATTTCTGACCAACCCACACACGCAATACCCAAAGCCGAGGCACAATCCCGCCTTACCGAAATTATAATATCTTCGCCGCGTCAGCTCGCCGTCAGCTCCACGTCACTATCGCGATAAATCACGATAGCAAACAAAGCTCTTCCCAACAGTTGTGGACTATCCCGCAAAAACGCACTTCGCGAGCCGGATCAATCCCGAGGCAATCGCCCAATGTAGCGTGTGTAAGTCCGCCAAGTCGGGACGTCCCGAGGCTTGTGCGCAGGTTTGTGCGCTGCAGCTTCGGCATTGCGCCGACGCCAAGGCTAAGTCTCCGGCTGTTGGGGATGAGGGCGCGAGCGAGAAGAAGATGTGATGAAAAAGGACAGCCGACAGCATGTGAAGGTGATTCCTCTCGGGATACTTATTTCGGAGTTTTCCTTCCCTCCCGGAGGTCGTATTCATGATCTGCTGAGCTGAAGGCGAGGAGCGTGCGCTTGTTTGCACGGAATTCTGCAGTGAGGCGATGAGCAAGTGAGGTTATCAAGGTTCTCAAGTTCGGAAACCATTCCCAATGGAGGTTGAGAACAGGGACCGGGCGACAGTGGGTTGGGATGGTAGTGGATGGTTCATAGCGGGTTGGCGGGGTTCAAGCTTGTCTCTCCAGGGACGAACAGAGGGTTCCCCACGTCCCCCGCAATTTGTAATTGTTGGCCACACCCCCTTCTCCAAAACCCCAACGTCGAGTCTTTTTTTTGTGCTCAACAATTGCCATTGAGACCCCGGTTTGCGGGTTGATGCCAAGTCGCCTCGGCATGTGAGGCTGTTTCTGTTCCTGGCTTGTGACGACGAGTCATGGCACAATAATTTTGTTGTTTTTTTGGCGACACCGAACAGCGAGACATTATCCAGCCAGCCAGCCCTAAACCCTAAGATGACCGGAACAACAAAAACACCATATTCAAGACACACTTGGTACAGAACGCAAAATACAGGAGAAGCTAAACGGCCGCCCCCTTCTTCGGCCCCCCTTGCAGCGTCAACTTCGAATGCGCCAAGAAAAACTCTCTCGCCCGCCACGCCGTCTCCCGGACCTCGTCCTCAAACGCAATGATATCCCCCATCAGGATAATATCATGCGGGCCCGGCGACGCCTCCAACGTGACCTCCCACCCAGGCACCTCCGTCTTCAGCCGCTCCGCCGTAGCCTCAATCCCCTCCCACAACGTCTCCCCATTGCTCCCCTGCACAAAAATCGGCACCTTCGCGGGCCGCGTTGATCCGCTCTCAGTCACCTTCTCACCCGTAGTCTCCGTCTCCGCCTCCGTCTCCCACCCAGGCGGCGAAAACGGATGCCGTATAATCGACAACCACTCCCCCTTCGGATCAATCGTGCCATACCCCGACACAGCATCCGCTCCCCACCTTGCAAAGTCCCGGTTAAGGTAATCCGTCTTGTACTGCGGCGTGAGCTGCATATCATGGTACAGTCCCGCAGATACATCAATCCACGGCGACCAGACAGCCATAGCCGCGGGGAAAGGTAAGCCCAAACCAGCGCCGTAGCGGGCTAGGTAGCGGGCTAGGGCGAAGGCGAGCGTAGCGCCGGCGGAGTCGCCGGAGAGGATGATTTGGGAGGCGGGGATCTTCTTGGTGTGGATAAGCCAGTGGTAGGCTGTGACGGCGTCGTAGAGGGGGACGGGGAAGCGGCTGGGTTCGGTGGTGCACAGGCGGTATTGTGGGAGACAGACGAAGGCGCAGCCGAGGTGTTTGTGGAGGGTCTTGCCGAGGAACTTGGAGTCTTTGTCGCGGCCGGTATTGATGACGAAGGCGCCGCCGTGGAAGTGCAGGGCTACTGTTTGGGTTGGTTTGACCTCGCCTGCGGGAGGGGGCAGGGAGGGCGTCCAGGTGGCGCCGACGGGCTCGGGGCCGAACAGCGCCGGGCCGTTTTTGGTGTTGTTGTTGTTGGCCTCCTTTGCTCGCTCACGCTCGTCGGTGAAGGGCGGCCGGTCAAACGCGGCCGCGGGAGCCGGCTGCATGACCTCCCAGCGCTTGCGCTCGCGGCCCCAGCTGGGCTTGAGCGGTGTCTTGTGGCCGAGGCGCAGCCGCGAGATGTAGGGGAGTGCCAGGCGCACGACGCGTACACGTAGGGCTTGGTTGAACGTCCACTCTGGGTTTGGGCGCATGCCCGGGACTATGCCAAGCAAGACGTCGAAGATGTAATGTGCGAGCGCGAAGGGTCCCTTGAGGATCATCCAGATGTAGATCTTGGCCATCTCGGTGGTGGTGGGCGGACTGCCATGCCCGATGGGCACGCCGGAACCCGGGATGATGGCGTACTTGTCGAAGTTGTGGCTGGTGAAGGCTGCATCTTCTTTGAGGGTTGACGATGAGGCTGGGAGCCCGGTCTCCTTGTTGGTCGCCGAGGGCGACGGTACTTCGTCTTTCATGGCGCCAGGGCGCTTAAGGTGTGGGATTAGTGGTGAGAGTGTAAGTGAGGGCTAATGAGTGAGAGCCAGTCTGGGGAGAAGCGGCTGCTCAAATATGAATGTCGAGATGGTGTTGAGCAAGCTGGGAGGATTCAACCCATACTTCTACTATGTATGTACCCCATCCCCACCCCATCAGTCGTCTGCAAAGTGCGGAGTGTTCCGTTGCATGTGGAAGTTCAGCTCCGCGGACGGAGATCGGACACAAAAGCAAGCCTTCGGGACGAGCCCGTCCCCTGAGTGCCCGATCCCCACCCCCGGACCCCAGGAAAATGTGGATGCTCCCTTCCAAGGCGCAAACAGGGGTCAATTCAGCTGGAAATGTCTCAACACACAATGAACCCCTGAGTCGTCACCTATCCCAACACATGCCTTAATTGGACGACGTATGGAAGTGTACTACACAGTACGCACTCAAGGTAGAATGTCAAGAAGGCTCATTCACATGCTTCAGCGGAGGACATCATGCTTCAGCGGGAGAAGGTCACGGTATCACCTGTAAAGCTATCTCCAGCACGTAGAATTTATAGACCATAATACTGGAATAAATACCAATGTGACATTCAACGTTATACACAGTTCACAACCAAATACAAGGGACTCGCACTCTCGAGAAGAAACACCTACTGCATCCTCCCAACAGATCCCCGGCCCGCCACATCGCGCGCAAGCTCCTGCGCCCAGGTCGGCCAACCCCTAATCCCAGTGAGAAAAGTCGACGTCCCCGGGATCACCAACTGCCCGCCCCTGCGGCTCTCAATCCTCCCGACCACCTCCTCGGCGATCCGCTCCGGCGTCAACATCTTGACCCGGTTCTCCCTCAGCCGCTCCGCAAAGGAGTTCACCAGCGGCGTCTGCACAAAGTTCGGGTGCACTACCGTCGTCAGCACACGCGGCGCGTGGTAATGGTGCTTCAGTTCCACAGTCAACGACTCGTGGAACGCCAAAGCACCGGCTTTGGTAGCCGAGTAGTCGGCCGCCGTGGCGAGTCCAATAAACGACGCCACGCTGGCGATGGTGATCACATGGCCCTTGTTGGCCGCCACCATGGCCGGCAGGAACTGCTGCGTGGTGAACCACATCGACATGAGGTTGACACCTAGGATGCGACGCAGGAACGGTTCCTGCGTCTGCAGGATGGGCATGGGCTTGGCCACGCCGGCGTTGTTGATCAGGATGGACGGGTGTTGGCCGCCAAAGTGGGCGCGGACAGCTGCGGCCGCGGCAGCGACGGACTCGGAGGAGGTCACGTCGCAGTGCACGAAGAACAACACGCCCGCGGGGTGTGCGGCGACCAACTCCTTTGGCGGCTCTTGCACGTCCAGAATCGCGACCCGCACGCCGAGCGCCAGGAGGCGGTCCACCGTGGCTTTCCCAATCCCGCTTGAACCCCCCGTCACCACTGCGATCTCCTGCTTCCAGTCATCCCAGCCCGGTGCTACGCCTAACCGCCAGTTGTTCGCTGCGGCTGTGCTGAGCACGCGGTTGAGGGTCCGTGCGATACCCAGGCCGAGCAGCACGCGGAGGGTGGTAAGGAGGGTGGGGGAGTTGAGGGGGAAAGAGGTCAGCCAGGCGGCGATGGCGGGTGATGGGATCGCGCGGGCGAGGGCGTCGACGGCCTTGCGGACGGCGGAGGGGAAATAGGTGGTGGATAGCAGGAGTGGGCCGCTGACGAGGGGGCAGAGGGCCAGTTTGGTGAGGGCCGAGAGGACCGTGGCTGGGAGGGAGAGGACGTTGGCTGCCATTGTGGGTTGTTCTCCGATCTGTGGGATGTGGTGATACTTGTTTTGGTGTTGAGGTTAATTTTACACGGTAAGCAAGTTATTAGTTTTAATGATCCGGGGGCAATGGAAGAAAAAGTCGTCAAAGCAACGAGCGAGGGTCCACTGTGAAAATTGCACGGAGTCAGTTGGTTATTACGGATGACACGCATTAACTTAATGACATGGGAACATTAATGGTTTCTCTCGAACGGTTCCCCATGGCCACGGAGTCAAACCATCAACGCTCATTCTCAAACACCTCCTTCGGGTCCATTCCGTCGATTCTCGGGTGGTTCGCGGATGCGGAGGAGCGGAGGTCTGGGGAAATATCGGGGTCAACGGTCGAGGGCCGGAGTTTACGTAGACTGAAACCATCACTGCATGACGTTGGGGGTCTCTGGAAAAGAACAATCCCGGAAGTGGACATGAGGGTGACAAGCAAAAAGATCGTCGTCGGGAAATCCACTTACGATTTCTTGGCGGCCCACTGAACCAGGACCTGGAAGGGCCCATATAACCTCGGTACGCCATCGCAAGCTAGGCCGCACCGAGTCAGGCCACCGACGGCCCCCCCCCCGCATTTTTCGCGTTTTCCTTGCTTTGCGTCGGTTGTGCTTGCCCTTCGCGTACGACTTCGCAGATTGGGTGGTTTCCCTCGCGTCTTCGCATCTTCTGGCCCCCCTTACGGCCCCCCGCAAGGCACCGCAACACAGCAAGCACGGCAAGCACAACTGCAAAGCCGTGTCAGCCGAACCAGCCAGCACACACACGCACCTGCGGAGCGTTCCCTTTTCATTCCACCGCGACCTCCACCCGGAGCGCAGAACGTGGTAACGATGGTCTTCCCCGGACATTTCAGTACGGGGTGCCTGCGCTGTCGCCAGCGCAAAGTTAAGGTGGGTGTTTCCCCAGACCCCGGGTTTTTGCCCCATAAAAAAGATGCCAAAGGAGAAAGGAAAGAAAAAAAAGACAAACAGATGGGAAAAAGAAAGATGGACGCAATTCATTGGATTGGATACGGAGTCAGAGACAAGTCGTTGTTGGCGCGATGAGTGGATCACGTAACTGACCGCCGTATTCTGGGTGTCTGGCAACAGTGCGATGAGACCAAGCCGTCGTGCCGCCGGTGCATGATCTACGGAAAGCCATGCACCGGATACACCGACCAGTTCCAATTCCGCCACCGGCGCAACCCCGCGGCCGGGGCGGACGGGAAGTCGGCGAGAGGCAAGAAACGACGTGAGAAACAAGAAGGGCAAGAGGCTCAACAGGGGGGAGGAGAGCCGCAGCAACATCAATTCCAACATGAACAGCTTATCCGGCTGCCCCAACCTCAACACCACCAAACCCAGCTGCAGCAACTATCACCAATATCACAATCACCACAACGCCAACAATCCTTCTCCAATGGCATCCACGTCGTTTGGCCATCCCCGCCTCGTGCCCCAGACCCCTGCTACGACACCGCCTCGCTCTCGTACTTCATCTCCCGCTTCGTGACTCCCAACCCTGAGGACGGCTTTCCCGGCCATCTCTCCCACCTGCCCGCCCTCTACGACGCGCACAGCTCTGGCGGCGGCGGCCTCCTCGAGGCTGCCACGCTCGCCGTCGCCCAGATGGCTGCGTACAACCGTTTTGGCGGCAACCGGTTTAAGATGGAGTCGTACCGGCACTACGGCCGCGCCATCAAGATGCTGCGAGACAACATTGCGAGCGAGGAGACAGCAACGGACGACAAGGTGATCACATCGATCCTGTTGCTGTGTGCGCTGAAGGATATCAGTGGAGAGTTATCAACTGGGAATAAGGGAGATCATGCCGCGGGGCTGTATTATCTGATTGAGAAGAGGGGGCCCGAACAGATTACCACCGGGCGCGGGGCCGAGTTGTTGTTTCTGTCTTTGATCCGCTTGGTGAGTACTTAGGGAGGGAAATACTTGCCCAAAAACGAAGCAAAGAGACTAACACAGTCCCCAGCAAATGCACTCATTCCTCAACGACGACGACACCTACGTCGACCCCGGCGCCATTACCACCGTCTGGGGCACCTTTGACCCCCTCCTACGCGCCCTCGCCATGATGTCGCGCACGCTCGCTCTACGCCAACGTCTCCTCCCACCGCCTGGCCGTCCCGGGAAACAACCCCAACCAAAACAAGAACCCGACTTTGACAACGACCCCCTCACACAACACCACGACTTCGCCATCGCAGACGTCCCAGACCCCGATGCTGCCCACCCGGACGAAGACCCCAATCAAGCCATCCTGCGCAGCTGCTCCGAGTGTCTGGACGAATTCCACCACTGGGACGTCGAAGCGGCCGCCTACTGGCAAACCGTCTTCAAGAGCCGCAGCACGCCGACCGCGCTTGGCGAGATTGCCTCCGGGACAACGCACTACGACGCCGAAACAGCATGCACCATCATCCTCATCCGATCAGCCCGACTGATCTTACTAGTGACCATGCTAACCCGGTACCATCTCCGCCCCGCCGGCGGACCCGTCCCATCACCAACATCCTCCTCTTCCCCATCCACGGGAACAAACCCATCTTCCCTCCCACGAACACCCCCCCACACCCCCCCAACAGGAAGTCCCATGTACCACGACAAACCCCCTCCCCCAGACCCCATCGCCGACGCCCTCGCCGCCTACGCCCCGCTCCTCACAAACGACGTCTCCCTCACCATCGACGACATCCTCGCCAGCGTGCCGTACGCGCTCAGCGACATCTCCCCCACCCGCCCCGGCCAGCCATCCTCATCTTCGTCCTCATCGCCATCGCCATCGCCATCCACCGCCACCCACGACGGCGCCGGCGCGCTAGTCATCGTGCATTCCATCCGCTTGGTAGCGTCGTGCGCGTTTTTGACGCCGAGCCAGAAGGAAAGGGCCACGGCGGTGTTGGGGCGGTTGTATGAGGAGATTGGGATTCGCGCGGCGGTAGGGATGGGGGAGGGGGGGCCGGAGGATGGGGAGGGGAGGATGGGGAAGTTGGGGGAGAGGACGAGGTGGGGGAGGGAACAGACTGCGTTGAGGGAACGGTTGGGGTTGTTGTGATTTTTTTAGTTTTTTTGGGGGGGCGTCTTTTTCTTTTTTAGTTTGTCAGTTTTAGGATCGGAGGATGGTACGGATATTGGCCTGTATGTACATATATGAGGGTTGAAATGGGTTGGATGTACTCCGGGGGTCGATAATTATGGCGTTTGGCTTTAGCGTCTTTACTGCTACTCAGGCAAAAGCACAAGCTCGAGAGAGGGGAGAAGGGCATGTCGAACAAACTACTCGCAACACTATATGGATGACAATCTGCAACGGATGTCTACTGTACCGTTTTGTGTTATTCCTCCTGAAGCCACCACATCGTAAACAACTCGGGGACCATCTCCCTTTTGCACAAAACATATTGGGACTGTGTTAATTGTTCTTCCGGGACGGGTAGCCTTCACGGGGTCTTCGTCAACAACGCACGGGTGGCTTCCGCCGTACTGAGAGGACACACACGTGTGCGCGCTAGCCCGTCCAACCTGTTCCTGGAGGGACAGGTCTATCGGCTCTTGACGCCGTTGCCGCACGAACAAAAAAGGGAACGATTAAGACGGGGTAGTTGAGGAACTTTTCAACGCTGGATCATTTCGCTACCCTCTCAAACCCCCAACAAACCCCCCCATCACGGCTCAGTTTCCTCCTGACAAAACATATCCCACGTCGGCGTCCTCAACGGATCAAAGCTCACCACCCCATCAAACCGATGTTCCTTCTCCTTCTTCCCCACATACCACATCGCCCAAACCCTCACATTCTCCCAATTCACCCCCTCAGCAAACTCCACCGCCGCGTCCTCCTCCCGCAGCAGCGCCTCAATCGCCTCCTTGACCCACACTATCGAGTCCCACCCTTCCTCCTCCGGCCGCAACTGGACATTGCTCAGGATGTGATGTATCTTGCCCAGGTCCACAACCTTGCCGAGTACGATTCGAACGAGCGTCTGTGCGGAGGGAAGCATCGTGGTCTCGATTTGGTCATATTGCCATAGTGAGGTGTCAGGGCCGATGGTACGCTTCCGGGCTTGGTAGCGGTAGCCTTTGCTTTCTTCGTCTTGGGTCGTTGGTCCGCTGAGGAGAGCCCAGTGCTACCTGGGAGGGGGGTTGGTGTTGTTAGATGGGGGGGTGAGATGGAGGCTGGACTGGAACGAGGGGTCACTTACTTGTCATCCTGTACCGGGACAACTGGGGCCCCTCCTTTGACGTGGAGAGTGAGGTACAAGCGATGTTGGTGGTCAGCCATGATTTAAGTTTTGTTTTCTCTGTAACTGTGTGAGGTGGTGATACAATGAAGTCGGTGTTGGTGGAGAGCAGCAGAATGTGATGTAGTTGACGGAAGTTAAGGTTGCTAACTGTGCAAGAAACTATTATCTTTGACGGCCTCACTTTTTATAGGTACCTACTAGGAATACGAAAGAGGCTGTTCTCCGGAGAGAGCCCGTTTGAACCTTCCTGTCGAGTGTGGTCCTACCCGTTTCGGAAGGGGCCACCGCCAACTGAGCATAATCAGAGCTGATTACCCTTGACAAGCCTGCACAAATTCCCCTGTCTTCTGGAATGATGTTGAGTCAAGCTGCTGCCAAGGAGATCCGAGTTGCGTGCGTTAAACGAGTGGTGTTCAGGGCGCAAAGCCACAACGGTTTGAGAAGTATTGCTGTATTTGTGAAAGTTGTATTCTTGGAGGCAACGTATGAGAGGGAACAATCCGAGCGATTGGCTTCCAGGATGGCTTTTTGACTTGGAGGAATCATCCAGAATAGAACCTGCAGCTCGTCTCGAAACTTGATACCCTACGCTTTATTCCTGCTCAACAACGACCCAAACAGATATACAACTGAGCGACAGATCCATCAAGATGCAAAATATTCTTCATATGTAGAACGCTTATGTCGATTGGCCGGGTATCTCAGAAGCTATATACAAAACGCCGTCGCTAGGGTAACATGTCCCAACACGGCGTGCGTGCTGTGCTTGTGAACGCCGCTGTGCTTGCTATGCTGTACAGTAGAAGTGCGCAAATATGCCTGCCTGCCTTTGGTATATAACGCCAACGTAATGCAAGACATCTCTCTCGTACCCAACTTCTGACCTCCCTTTCCAAATGACGCCGAAACGGTAAAGGACCACCCAATGCCACCTATCTGGCACCCAAGTAAGCAATGTCGTCCGTTTACGAACTCCGCCTACCATACGGCTCGAATGGGAACAGCGCGGCAACGATTCCCAGCCCGGCAAACAGGGCACCGCAAATATAGATGGGCGCCGACGTCGATGTATCAGCCTCGGTCGCAATGACTGCTGACAGCGCACCCATGATCCGGTTACCCGCCACAGCGACCCCGTTACCCGTCGCGCGGTGCGCGCTGGGCAGCACCTCGGGGGTGTAGGCAAACAGCACACTGTAGTAGATATTCAGACAGAACCCAATAGCGCAAGAGAACCCGACGTTCTGGTCGGCCGTTCGTACAGCGGTGTAGGCAAAGAAGAAGACGGCTGTCAGGAGCGCGCCGATGAGCATGGTGTAGCGGCGGCCGAGGAAGGGGAGGTTGCACATCCAGCCGGCGAGGATGGGACCGAAGACACCGCTGATGTTAGTCAAGGCGTAGTTGCGCCACTTCTCGTAAGGGGTGACGGAGACGTCGGCGCCGGCGTTCTCGAGGTAGGTCGGGAGGAAGGCGTAGAAGAGCGGGTAGACGATACCGATCATCATCCAGGAGAGCCAAATCATGAGGGTCGAGATGGTAGTCTTCCTGGTAGTGAAGAGACCGCGGATGTGGCCAAACGTCTCCCCGAAAGAGAACTTCGACTTGCCCTCGACCCTGATACTGCCGCAGGCCTGCAACTTGTCAAGCGTCAGGCTGCAGGGCCGGTTGTACTTCTTAGCCAGGTACTCGAAAGTCTCCACGACCTTGGCATCCTCGCCCATCCCTAACAGATATTTGGGAGTCTCCTTGAGCTTAACGACCGTAACACGGGCGACCGACATGACTAGGACCAGGGCGCCGCTCGTGAACATGACATAGCGCCAGCCCATGTTGTTCGCCTTGGTGCAGGTCTCGACCGAGGAGCAGTTCCATTGCCCGGGTACTAAGCATTGTTAGCCACATAACGGACAGCAACGCATTCTAAAATTGACATACCGAGGAAACCCCAGGCGATGAACCCGGTAATAGCCTGGCCGATACCCCACCAAGCGGCCATCAGCGTTACAACCCACTGCTTGTCACCCGGCAAGTACTCCAAAAAGACCGTTGTGTCGAGCACCAAGTTACCGCCAGCGGCAAACCCCAATAGGGCGATAAAGAATCCGAGAGACTCCCAATTGGGCATGCCGCCCGCGACGATGGTGGCGATAGTGGCGAGGATCAAAGAGTAGTTAAACGCATGTTTCCGTCCGATGATGTCCGCGCCCAGGCCCCAGAACAGAGATCCGACGAACATGCCAGAGTATAGCGCAATGGTCATGCCAGTCGCGTAACCGTGTTCACCGAACTCGGTGAAGGCCTGGCCGGCCACGACGGACTGCAGCAGCATGACGAGTGAGTCGACAGCATATCTGCCAAGTTTAGTCAGCTAAAGAGATCCCCCAATTGAACGAACCCCTCCAAAAAAGGAATCCCCCACTTACCCAAAACCGTTGAGCATAAACAGCTTCGAGTGGTACGGGGTCCAGCCGATCTCGTCAATGGCCTAGAACGACGACAACGTGTTAGCATACATCAATTGTTCTCCGAGGCAAGACTAGCCCGCAAAATGCTGTAACAATGTGACCCACGTTGTTAACCAAGTGAACCTTTCGGCCCAGCGCAGCATCCGCCGTCTCATCAGCCAGTAGATCGCGCTCCTTGCTTGACGCCGACAGCGAGTCGAAGTTGCTATGCTCCGAGACGTAGCCGCCGACCTGTTCCTCCTCGAGACGAGGCGCAGGGGCCTCGGGGGATTTCTCCGCAGCCATGATGTCTAGCAAGGCTCACGGGGAACGGGCGTGAATGGAGGGGGACCGGGGGCGTCGAGGTGTGGTTTCGATAACCGTGGGGATGGTGACGACGAGCTTATACTCTCCCACTTGAAGAGACAAACCGTCGTTGTAGACGTGAGGGAGTGTGGGTGAGAGAATTGAATCTCTCAGATGGGAAAACAGGACAATTCTAGGGCGGCGAGCGTCGAAACGAACTGCATCGGAGTGTATGCCAGCAGAACGTGAGGATGACCTAGTGATGTGGGGTGACGGGGTGTTTTAAACCTCGGGAGTGACAGCGGTCAAAAATCCTCTCGGACTCTTTTTAAGAAAAAAAGAGGGAGCGGAACCTCAGGGGAACGCCGAAGGGATCGGGGAAGGCAGATCGACAGGGTCTGAGGGCAAGTTCTTTTTCCATGTACATTCTGTCCTGCAGGCGCAAACAAACAGACCCGGAACTGGCGGCAGGCATGACAGCCATCAAAGTCGCACATGGCATGGGCGTGGCATGGATACACGCAGCAGAGCCGTGGGGGGTGGAAGAAAGGCTTTCCCCGCTTACCCACCAATGTCCTGCGATCGCAGAGCCAGAGAGCACCAGAGTTGGTTGCAGTCAATGTCTGAGAGAAGAAGCAGGTGTGCCAAGTTTCCAGTGCGCTTCCAACGTCCTCTCGGCCACCGCCGAATCAAGTCATGATCAACGATTATGCGTGGAGCCACCTGTGGATTCCAGCACTCTTTTCACCCGTCTCAGGCTTCTACCTCGACATTACAGGATGGCGGTGGCAGGTGGTCAAAATGCGGCGACTCTCCAAATTCCTTCCAGGGAGAAAACTTTGCCCCTCTTCTCACCAAGGAAGTTCAGGGAATCCAAGGTCAAGGAAGAACAAGTACCAGGCTTTGGCAGGGTCGAAGGTGAAGCGGCAAGTCACCACAACCAACACACAGAAAGGATTGCGCCTCCAATCGTAACTGCCTTTTCGAGCACCGAAAGCCAGCTCTGAGTGGCTGCCAACCTCGACTTCACACGGGCGCATGCTCGGCTGTCGTCAGCCAAGACAAATTTATGGGGTTCTGTGGGGCAGTGGGGCCTTTCAAAGTTTTACGCCGAGTCAGAGTGCAAGGACACAACGCCAAGACCGGCTATTCGGAATGGGATTTGAGGATTTGCTCTCTGCTCCAGTCCTGGAGTTTCACCACAGCGACTGAGTTGGGCCTTTCCCATGCAAAAGGGACGGGAAAAGGAAAATGTTTTCACGCCGAGCGCAGTTCTCCGACTCCCTTGTGGCCTCCTGGGTCTGTCCGGTCTCTTCCCTGGTTCCGAGCCTTTCGTCTCAATCCATCGAACCCCGCGGGGCAATGCGGAACAAACCACCCCCACACCGTAGCCTCGGCCGCTTGTGAGCATATCGAGACAAACTGACGTCGATCGTCAGGTCATTCCTGGGATTGGTTCTTCAGCATTCCGCTCCTTTGTGGACGGACTTGTCCGGGGTTACATTTTGTGGAGGAATGTCAACGTTGCGCTGCATCAGTTGCTCCCGATTTAACACTGATCTTCCTGACGGGCAGTCCGAGTCTGTCAGTCCCATTGACGCTTTCGTCCACCGACACCTCACCGAAGCGAAGGGGATCCGGCTGGCTGGAGAATGCGACTTCTCATAGCATCTGGCTGCAACACCGAAATATCCCGGTCCTGGAGTGGCCTGAGGCTGATGGGCGCCCATATGTATGTATATACAATACTGTGCTTGTGTATTTACGGCTAGCTACCAGTAACCCAATGCTCAACACTCCGGCCATGCACCAAAAGTATCGACAAGAAATAAATCCTATGTACAAACAAACCCCTCGCGCACCGTCTCACAGCCCTATCAACTCGCCACGTTACCTAGCGACAACAACTACATCTTGGCCCCCACGCACCTTACAAGCACTGCGAGTACCAGTCGTTGGAATACTTGCAGGTGTACGGCGACGCGCACGTCGTGCAACCCGTGTATCCCGTGCCTCCGCATTGCGACCATTGCGGGGCCGTGCAGCCACCGGGTGTGCTAGTCGTGGTCGCCGGCGGCTTGCTGGAGGTGGTGGTAGTGGTAGCGGCCTTGGTAGTTGAGGTTGTGAGGGTGGTGGAGGGGGTCGAAGGCTTGCTGGTCGTCGTGGTGGAGGGGTTACCGCCGGACGGAGCACCTATGCCGGATAGCAAGATTAATATCGGACAGACACACACTGGTTCGAAACACCACCACACTATGACGACAACTTACCGGGACCAGCGACGTTGGTCGTCAACGAGCCGCTCTCAATGTACACGCCAGACCAGTAGTAGTCCTCGTTGCTGTCCGAGTATCCCGAGCGCGGGAGCTCGAGCACGCCCACATGCCAGTCGGCACCATTGCTGCTGGTGCTGACGCTGACAGGCGCGACGATGCGCGTCAAGGGGTCGCTGCCGGTCGAGTGCCAGAAACCGACGGTGTTGGCACTGAAATCGATCTCATACGCCACATTGTGCCAGACACCCGCCTGCCACTCCGTGCTCCACTGCGTCGCGCCGTTGACACACCACCGCAGCGAGGTGTCCGACACGCCGGAGGCCCCCGACAACAAACCGGACTTGAGCTCGGTAAAGTGGCTCTCGAAGAAAGCGATCTGGTGCTCACGGGTGGTGGCGGGCGCATTGGTGTCCTTGCGCGACAGCGAGAAGTGGTAGTACACCTTGCCCTGGTTGATGGGCGCGGAAGTCTGGGGGATCAGTTCCGTCCGGCGCATGTTCTGGCCGTTCCAGTACGCCGTGTTGTCCAGCGTGATCTTGGCGCCCTGCTTGGAACCGGTGTCGGCTGGGTTTCCGTAGTCGGGGGACAGGTTGACGTAAGATGTCACCGACGATGAGCCGTGGATGTAGTACTCTGTACGCCGTCAGTTCCAACCCTCAAAAGGACAGTGGTCTCGCAAAGCACGGCTCGGTATTGGGGGTGAAGAGGTGGTACACACGGTATGGGCCGACCTGGTTGCCCCACGACCAGTTGTTGAGGTCAGTCGAAGAACTGAGGTCGTTGAAGCGGCCATCCCAGAGGATGGTGCCCGCAGACGCGGACAAGGCGTTGGCCAAAAGGTAGGACAAGACCGAGAACTTCATCTTGGCGGTAGGTATGTATCGGACGACGGGCGATCACACTGACGAGGGCGGGAGATCGACAGGACAAGACATGGCCAAGGAGGGAAGCCTTCTTCAACTTATAACGGCGTTTCAACCCCCCTTCTCCCCACCCAGGACCTCTTTCCCCGGTTTCCGGGTCGTCAATATCTCTCCGAACCCCATTGCGCAAGCCCACGGGCCAGAATGCAACCTGATGAATCCGTAGTCCCCCATTTTTAGACAAACAAGCGGGCAACACCCGCAATGACGGCCCGCTTCGAGACGGAGCGCGGAAGATGAAGACTCAACAAGGAGAATTTAGAGTCGCAATCTTGCGGAAGGACCTCGAATCCTGTCCCGTTTCGGTCTTGGTTCCTGGAACCCCGGTGCAGTCTAGGCCGGTCTCGTTCCCGGAAACCGGGAAACCCTCATTTCAGCCCAATCGTTGCGGCTTGCCCGCGCGCCAAGGAATACTCGAGGCGGTTTCGGCGAAGGTTAACTTCTGTGCCGAATACCAGATTCGGTTCGACTCGAGATCTCTCCTGTCAACCTGGAGCGTCCGGCGTCCCTCCGGTTTGTTGTTGAACTGAGGCCTGAGGGGCGTCGCCATGCCCACTTTGGAAAGCGGCAAACGGGTCGGAAGGAAAACCTCCGAGAGTCAACCGGGCCATGCATGCAGTGGGCGAAGCCAAAAGCTTTAAATAAACCCAGAATTCACCGGAATGAGATGGTGAAGCTTTCCAGATCCCAGATTGCCGCGGTGATCTGCAACAAACGCGCGATGGTTGACAGTTGACAGGCACACAGAGAAACAGCCGCGATGGAAATTAAGTCATCCAATCAGGACTTCGAATTGTTCATGTTGATGACGCGAAAGGAAGGACCCTTTGTCAATCTGGAACTCGCCCAGTGCATATACCGTGTCTAAATCTTATTGCACTGTTTTTGTACTGTTTCCCAGACCAACCGAAAAACAAAAAAAAAAAAAAACACGTGAGAGTGGGGGACTTGCTAGTTATTGAAGCCCACCCACGGAAGCAACACAACGGAATAACAAGCTTGTCTGATTCCAGTTATAATACTACTGACGCCGCCGTTGACAAGGCCATCGATGACGGGAGGGTTGATCATTGTCTTCCGTGGCTTCAACATCTCCGGTACGGGTCCTAAGCCCTTTTTTGAAGAGTGGCCATACTCGCCCCAAGTGTGTCCACGTCCGGTGAGATTTTGACCATTCTAAAGCTGTTCCTTGCTGCTTTCTTCGTTTCGAGTCTGTGACTTTTAGCCTAGTTCGATGTTATGTATAATTATCTTCTTAGGCACTCTGGAACGCGAGCCATGATCGTTATGCAGTGGTTGTTAACAGACAGGAGCAGGGCCGAGCACCAGCACGCTCATCCCTTCTATTATCTCCCCGAGTTTTTAATGACAGGCCTCCCTCTTTAACTGCCCCAGTCCGTGTTTCCGTCGGGGGCCGAAAGATTTGAAGCTCCGCAGCTCCGAGTCACTTTTGTGATAGCCGAGCTTAACGTCGCCGGCACGGCTGAACGGAGCTTCGGATACCACGGGTTTAGCGGGGCAACACGAGGCGAGGGCCCAGAATTCTGGTTGGGTGGGGACGGAGGTTGGAATTGGAGCCAATCCTGGGCCTGCAATTGGGGTGTTGAGTGGATGACATCACCTCGTTCATAGCCATAGACTTTTTTGTGCTGGGCATCGTCCGTGGGATACGGTTCCTGTGTCGAGTTTCTAGTGCAAAGGACAAACTTAAGGTGATGGAAAACGGGCGGTATTGGACTTGCAGTTGCCATTCCGTCTTCCAGCGTTGTCATTGCCTCAATAAACGAGAGCTTCTCGAGGGTGGACGTATTGGCGGGCCAGGTGGGGCATACGGTACCTGCCGAACTGCGAATATCGCGGTGCTCTGACTTGACGCGCAGGGCCGGAACCGGGGTTGCATGCGGTATGATGTCGGTCATCTCACGTTTAAAGGGCCGGGCCGCCGTCGAGAGAATTCGAGGGGCCTCTGATGGGACAACTCCTCTCCCTTAACCCCTTCTAGCTTATCTTCGGAGGAAACAGCACAGTCTCTCCTTCCGTTTATCTCCCTTTCCCACCCTTCAATCCAAGCCCAGCCCGCGGCCTGCATTCTTTCAACCGGTATATACACTTCCAGACCCTAATCCTCTCCTCGACCACACCGCAACCATGGCATCACCAGTTGCTTCCGCGGCCCTCCGGTCACGTATCAAGCGGCCGTCGATGCTGAAGAAAGTTTGCAACCCCGAAGATCTGCTCCAACACTTTCCCAATGGCTCGTATATCGGCTGGTCCGGGTTCACGGGCGTTGGATACCCAAAGTAAGGAGGCCCCTGTCGAACCCCTTTCTACCCAGCAGATGCGAGGTCAAAGGGATAAGGGTTATAGCGCTGACACACGTCTGGTAAAACAGAAAACTGCCGACCTTCCTCGCAGATCACGTCGAAAAGAACAAACTACAGGGCCAGCTGCGATACAGTTTATTCGTGGGCGCGTCGTCGGGAGCTGAGACCGAAAACCGATGGGCTGCGCTGGACATGATCGAGAGGCGGTCGCCTCATCAGGTTGGCAAGAATATTTCCAAGGGGATCAACGAGGGGCGGATCAAGTTCTTTGACAAGCAGTAAGAGGAACCTACAATCGTCTTGACGTTGAAAGGGGGGGGGTTAATATGGCTGGCCTTGCCCCTGCCTATCGCCTAAACTTGTGGACTAGTGGCTAACCCTGTTGGTTCCCCAAGCTTGAGCATGTTTCCTGTAGACTTGGTTTATGTAAGTGCCGCATGGTAACCTAAAAAGGGAGAAGTTCTGACAAAAGACAGGGCTTCTACACGAAGGACAGGCCAAAGAACAAGATTGACGTTGCCGTCGTAGAAGCGACCGAGATCAAGGAGGACGGCAGCATCGTACCCGGCGCTTCCGTTGGCGCAACGCCGGAACTCCTCCAGCTCGCCGACAAGATTGTCATCGAAGTTAACACGGCCCTACCCAGCTTCGACGGCCTGCACGACATCACTATGACCGACCTCCCGCCCCGACGGAAACCCTACCTCATCACCAATGTCGAGGACCGCATCGGTACCAACTCAATACCGATCGACCCGGAGAAGGTAGTCGGTATCCTCGAATCCGACTACCAGGACCAAACGCAACCCAACACGCCCGCAGACGAAACATCGAAGAGGATCGCCGGGCACCTGATTGAGTTCCTCGAGCACGAGGTCCGGCACGGCCGCTTACCCCCTAACCTGCTGCCGCTACAGTCGGGCATAGGCAATATCGCCAACGCCGTCATCGGCGGCCTCGACCACTCCAACTTCCGCAACCTCAAAGTATGGACCGAAGTGATTCAAGACACCTTCCTAGACCTCTTCGACTCCGGCCGCCTAGACTTCGCAACCGCCACCTCGGTGCGTTTCTCCCCAGACGGCTTCAAGCGCTTCTACGACAACTGGGAAACCTACCAAAACAAGCTCCTCCTCCGGTCCCAGCAAGTCTCCAACTCGCCCGAGATCATCCGCCGCCTCGGCGTCATCGGCATGAACACCCCCGTCGAAGTCGACATCTACGCCCACGCCAATTCCACCTGTGTCATGGGCAGCCGCATGCTCAACGGCCTCGGTGGCTCCGCCGATTTCTTGCGCAGCGCCAAGTACAGCATCATGCATACCCCGTCGACGCGCCCGTCCAAGACCGACCCGCTGGGCGTGAGCTGCATTGTGCCCATGTGCACACATGTGGATCAGACGGAACATGACCTAGACGTGATTGTGACGGAGAACGGATTGGCGGATGTGCGCGGGCTAAGTCCGAGGGAGAGGGCGCGGGTGATTATCGATCAGTGTGCGCATGAGGTGTATCGGCCGATTCTGAAGGAGTATTTTGAGAAGGCGGAGAGTGAGTGCTTGAGAAAGGGGATGGGGCATGAGCCGCATTTATTGTGGAATGCGTTTGATATGCATCGGGCGCTGAGTGAAGAGGGGAGCATGCAGAAGGTTAAGTTGTGGTGATGCGAGGACGGTGAGGTCTGTGAGTATCCGGTTCCAAACGAGTTGATGGAAATTTCCAACTTGTACATAGTAGTACTTCACGAACCCCTAAACAACCATACCTTAGTCAGTGTGAATGCGTATTGATGTGAGTACCTACACATTATTATCTTTATTATTTTTTGAGGACAAATTCCACCAAACGAGGTGAGATGTCCCGCGATTATATCTCGGAATTTCCTTTCAAGCCAACTCTGGAATATTCTACTTCAGGCTCAGGACACCGGTACGTCGCTTTGACTTCCTAGTCGTGGACGGCGGATGGCAGTTGGAATGAATGGTGGATCCAAGCACATCTCCGAGCCGGGCGAGACTACGGGCGTATGTCCACAAACCGTCCGACCCCGAAAACGATCGGCGTGTTTCCGGGCGCGGAGACAGGGGTTTGGCTCCCGGTGATGTGGGGAAACCGGCGCCGACTTTGGCAAACGAACGCCACCTCGGAGCGGTTGGTCCCCGAGACCCTGAGAAGTGATCACTCCACAAGGGATACAAAACACGCGGCGGGCGGAGCCCTCCCAGTTGGAATGTGGGAATGGAGCCCCTGGCGGATGGCCCCGTGACCTGTCGCTGTGGTGGCACAAACATCGCCCAAAGGATCCTGGCGCATCGCAAATGCGAGAACGGTGATGGAGGCGACCGGCCACATGGAGCCCCAAGAAGCACGAAAGTTCTCGCGCGGCCGCGGAACCGACAGGATGGTTAAGCCAGTGCTAGCCTCGGTGCCTCGTGCAAAATGACCCATCGACGATGCTCAGCGGCCCCACTCCCGCGCTCGCCAAAGTTAACATTGTGAGAACCTGGTGGTCGGGAAGCACTCGTGGCGCTGGGGTTGCGGGGAGATGTAACCTGCCCGAGACCCTGCAACAATTGAACGTCTTCTGGTCGGTCGCAGAGACCAGCCGAGCCTCCACACCCGACTTCGTCTGTCGAGCAAACGACGGCGGTGTTGTTTTTGTGAATACATCGGATAGTTCGTCTGTTCTAAGGGGAGGGAGCGAGGTGGATTTGCAGATAAGCATCAGCCATTAATTAACTATTGCTGTGAGGGCGATCAATCCTTCTCGTTCGTATCTCTGCAGGCAGTGTCTGCCGCGAATATCAAGGGACACCGAGTCTCCATTGATGGTTTCAGAGGGGCCGTGTAACATGACTTCGAGATCCGATGGGGTGCGGTGCGTTATCGATGGAACACTGCTTTCGGCTGGACGGAGTACTGGAGGTCCTCCGGTCGAACGCCGGGTGGATGTTGTTTACAATTCCTAGCCTGCCTTACACTACTCCTACGCTCCAGAGGATCCTCCAAGGCCCAATAATGACTGACCTACTTGCCATCAACACCACTAACTCGATAACGTTCAAGGCCATCTTGATACTCTCCCTAGATATGCCGCCAGTCGGTCGCATCTCGCCTTGCGGCGCAGTGATAAGGGGCCATTTGCCAAAGGAACTTTCTGGATGGCAGGTCAGTTAATCTGCGAAACGTTACATGACGCCACGAGCGACCAACCCCGACTCGAGAGGGATGCCCAGACGGCACCTTCTCCGCACCCGCTGGTGGGATTCTGGAGCTGGGGAGCTGGAGCTGGGGGGAAGCTGGTCCAAGCGCTCGGCCCACTTCACTGTGAGCTCCTTCCTAACTCGACTCTCCTTCAATCCAATGTCCAATCAGTGAGCCTCTGTTCGGAAAACCCGTCTCCAATCTTGGGGCAGCATGGGAAAGAACGACAAGGGATAGGGGCTGGCGCATTGATGGCGCCCAATCAGCTTACCTGAGGACCCATTCGGTCCGTCCCAATCTTCCATCTCAGCAATCTTTTGACAATCACGAGCCCTCGCTGTCAAACAGACAAATGGCAAGGGAAGGAAGGCACGATGGCTTGGATGGGCAGGGACGCAGTTGCAAAAAATAGCAGAGACAAAAAACTGGGGTTACTGAGGCTGATTTCCATCCAAGCCAAACACGAAGCCGAATGCCATTCTATCTTCATAGGAATAGTGTAGTGTACCATTTATTTGGTTCGGAATTTGACACGACAGAGACGATCAAGAAGGAATCCACACTGCCACTTCTCGTATCCTTTTTCTCGATATCGACCGGTCGTTGTCTCAAACCCCATTGAGGGATCTGACACCTCCCCGATCCCACAAACTTTCTTCCGAAGCCAACACACACCACCGACCATTGTCACGTTGATTTCTCCAGCAAGCTCAGGTACGTTCACAGTGGTGTGTTTGACAGTCCGTGTTCACGCCCACGAAAATTCCGGCCACCCGCTGCTACGTTTGACTGTTCAACGACACGAGCACGCGGCCTCCTGCAGGGTTGCACCCGCTGGACGCGCTGGAGCGTTTCCTCGGGGCCCCGCCAGCCAGCCAAGTCCCCCAGAACGGCTGCCTTTTTACCCCCCTGTTAGGCTAAGCTTTAACCGTGCCGAAAGACAGCCACTTCGGTATTGTCTTATATCTGCCGTTGATCGCTTACCTCGCGATCCGTTTTGAACTTCTCCCGCACTCGTCTTCCCCACACGAGACCGGCACCCGGGTCGCTAATTTTCCTCAGTTCGAGTTTCAATCGCCACCGAAAGTGCGGGTGTGCGTTCGTTCGCTTGCCCGTGCATCCGACCTGACTAACACTTGAGACGATCTCCGACGAGACGCGCAGCTGCTATCATGTCAGACGAGAAGAACATCGAGGCGGGCGCGCCCGCTCCAGAAGTCCGCACCTCGGACAGCTTCGAAGCTGCCCCGCGCCCAGCAGGATGGATGTACAAGGGATTCAAAGTTGGGAAGAAAGAGCTATGGTATGCGTCGCCAATTGTCCAGCTGCTCACGGTCGCCCTCGTGTGCTTCATGTGTCCTGGCATGTACAACGCTCTCACCGGCCTTGGTGGTGGCGGCCAGGTTGACGCAAGCGCCCAAAACGACTCGAGCACTGCCTTGTACTCGACTTTTGCCGTTGTCGGCTTTTTTTCCGGTACCATCGCCAACACCCTCGGCGTCAAGATTACTCTGGCATTCGGCGGTCTCGGTTATTGCATCTACGCTGCGAGCTTCCTGAGCTACAACCACAACCAGAACCACGGATTCGTCGTCTTTGCTGGGGCCTTTCTTGGCGTGTGCGCCGGTTTGCTGTGGACCGCGCAGGGCACCATCATGATGAGCTACCCTCCCGAGGAAAAGAAGGGCCGGTACATCTCGTACTTCTGGATCATCTTCAACTTTGGTGCCGTCATTGGCTCCTTGGTCCCTCTCGGGCAGAACGTCAACGCCACCGGCACCACGAACGTCACCGACGGCACTTACATTGGTTTCCTCGTCCTTATGGTTGTCGGCGCCATCCTCGCACTGGCTCTCTGCAACGCTGACAAGGTCATCCGCGAGGACGGCAGCAAGGTCATTCTGATGAAGAACCCGAGCTGGAAGACCGAGATCATGGGTCTGGTCGAGACTATCACCACCCAACCCTGGGTGGTCCTTCTCTTCCCTATGTTCTTCGCCTCCAACATCTTCTACACCTACCAGATGAACGACTTCAACGGTGCCCATTTCAACACCCGCACCCGCACCCTTAACAATCTTCTGTACTGGACCAGTCAGATTCTCGGTGCAGTTATTTTCGGCTACGCCCTCGATATCGGTAGCGTCCGCCGCTCCATCCGTGCCAAGGCCAGCTTCATTGCGCTGTTTTCCCTCACATTCATTATCTGGGGTGGCGGCTATGCCTGGCAGAAAAAGCAGGTCACCCGCGAGGTTGTTGAGAGCACCACGAAGGAGTATGTTGGTGTGGACTGGACTGATGGCGGCGACCTGTACATTGGGCCTATGTTCTTGTACATCTTCTACGGTTTCTTCGACGCCTGCTGGCAGACGTCCATCTACTGGTATGTCTATGATACGTTTATTCCCATGCGGCTTAATAGATGGCTAACCGTATCCCCGCAGGTACATGGGCGCGCTCAGCAACTCCGGGCGCAAAGCTGCCAACCTCGCTGGCTTCTACAAGGGTCTTCAATCGGCCGGCGCCGCCATCTTCTGGCGCCTGGACGGCTTGAAGACCGGGTACAATACCATGTTCGGCGCTTCGGTACGTCCTAATTCACCCCCTTCTACGTTGACGAAGCCGTGGCTGACTAATATTTTTTTGAACAGTGGGGTCTCGTTGCTGCCGCTCTGTTGATTGCTGCTCCCGTGATCTTCCTCCGGATTCAAGACACCGTTCCCCTCGAGCAAGATCTCAAGTTTAGCGACGAAACGGTCGAGGACGTTGCGCCCACTAAGGAACTTGCTGCTCTTCGAGCGGATTAAGCAAGAAGGCGTTTCCACTTATATTTACTGTCACTGATTCATTCAGTCGGCTCAGCTGTGTATCCGGTTGACGGCCGGGAGAGGGAACTGGGCTAGCGTTGCGTCCCACATGGTGTGCACCGCTTGTTATATACCACCCTGCGGGTGGTCGGTTTGCTTGTGGGGGATATAGGAATGATACCATGACACGTGTATAACGAATAATAATGTAGCTTTGTTGCTTTAAGTGTTGCTGTGGTGTTGCATCATTACTGCCTTGTGCCGATTCGAAAACATAAAGATGGAGAAAGGAAGTAAAACAAGAGCACAGCTTTCCCATGACATCCGCTAACAGTGTTTGAGTTGAGAGCCCCGGGGGATAATGAAATCTTCTCGACACAAGGACATGACAATCCCACGTTGAGCAATCGGCGTGAGTGATGTGTAAGTCCCGACCCCCTTAGGTCTTTCAGGTATTTGCAGGCATGGCGCTTGCCCTTAAAACATGTAACCAGGTGTGACAGGAAGACTCGCTAACTATCATCCATGGGTTACACACCACCTGTTTGTGATAGAATAGTTGATGGTAACGTCGCAAGATCGAAACGCCATGAGCCGGATCCAAAGGGCTGCTTCTATTATCCAAGGGCCACGCATGGCAAGTTTCTACTCGACCCATTGAGTCTAGGGAATGCGGACGAGCTGAGGAAAGAAAGTAAAGAGGGATATTACGTGAGACGCCGAAGAAAGTCGGAGAGTGCGCTGGTAGTTGCAACAACTTATTCTATGTCACACATTGGCGTGACCCCTGGATGTGAGTCACCCTATGCTCCGGGGAAGATAATGTATAATCGACCCAGACCCCGGACACCAGCGCCGTTGTCTCTGTTAAATCTCAATCGAGGTCCAGACCGCAACTTCTTTCCGTGGCTGACTTTGTTTGCCCTCGCTACTCGATGTCTTATGCTGTGAAACGTTTGTTTTGACTCTCTCATCAACCGAGGTGGTACAAGGAAATCTGGGTGTCACAGGAACTCGAGACAGGGTCATTACACAAGCACCATGTGACAGGGAGGACATTGTGTGTGTGCTTAATACGTCACTGGGGGATGGAGAGGGGGGTTATTGCTTTGGAGTTGGGTAGGGATGGGGAACTGTGGTTCAAGGAAGGGAGTTAGATGAAGCGTCGGTAGAGGAACTGGCGATATAATGGTCGGGTCACTTAGGCTACAAGCCTAGATTAGGTATCATTTCCAGGGTCCTTGGACTGGCGGTTGCAGTTTGAATCGGTGTGACTGAGAGCCGGTTATTGTCATAATTAACTACATATAAAAGGCGCTTATGAGCGTGGTGAACCACTAGGGGGGGGAAATTAAAAACTGGCAATCAATTACCATCTCTCATCGTTTACAGAATCAAAACCTCTGAATCCTACTACTTCTAATATGTTTGCCCCCAACTCCCGGTATTACCCGTTCTGTGCTTCCCTTTTTTCGCACTTCGTAAATATCTCAGCTCTCGATTCGGACCTCCTTCCCATTTGTTCACATTCCGGCACACCGGTTGCGCCACCTGCAAGATCCCGTCCGAGAAGAAGACATGAGGGAACACTCACGAACACTACTGCCCTTTCTTATCATCATAATTGTCACATTTTATCCGGCATCACCTTGGAATTGTGGAGATCGATTGTTTGGTATGAACTGAGGTTGACAATATCTCCTGAATCTCTGCTAGAATACTTTCCGCCTGACTTGGATAGGCTAATACTAGAAGTTTCGTTTCTAGCATACAGTTCTCGAGGTGAAAAGACTCGGGCGTTTGTGATGTGCCAGGGAAACTATTAACGACAAGGGGGAATGTTAATGATTGAGAAGGAAACAAGGTTTCGAATCTCCCTCGAGAACTCTCGGTGGCGTTCGGCGGGTTTTGCATGAAGCCTCGCTGTTGATCGCCATACACGAGGAATATTTATTGGAGACAGCCACAATCTTTCATGCAATCACTCACTACTTTGAGGTATCTAAGCACAAGTCTTGTCTCTCATTATTGTTTGCTACGGCAATTGATCAGTGACCCGGAAACTTTGCAACCTTAAGTTGACTTAATTTATTGTTCAGGGACCTTAATATTCCGAGCTATCTTGAATCACTATGTCAAGAAACAACCGGAGCATTTGACTTGAAGTGATCCTTGACAAAGAACAAAGAGAACACCTGCTGTGAGACTCAACGGAGCTTAGCAATCGGCATGTGGTGCCAGGCGCAGCCAGGGGGTCACCTACCAAACCATTGAGATGCCACACGCTCCATCGATTCCTGTAGGAAAACCCGGAATTCGATCTATCCGCCCGACAAATCATGGTAAAGGGGTATGTGATGAGACGATCCACGTTTGACAACTTTTTCCTTCCCGCGATTCTTCGGGGTGTGTTTCGTTTCAACCCCCACGCGATATGTGGTGTATTTCGGCATATCACCCTCTTAACTGAGATCTAGAGCATGCAGGTGAGGAATCTAGGCCATGATGTTGCCGGTAGATGCGTCACTCGTCGTGGGATGTCAACATGTTTCATGCGTCTGGTCATGATATAGTTCCGGGAACGGACGTCCGGAACCCTGGCGAACTGGGTACAGGGCAGAAAGGTTGCTGATCTGATGGGAAGGTTTATGCGAGATACAAGGATCCGAAGGAAATGTACATAGTAGTTTTGAGATTCTAGTGTGCTGAGCACCCATCGGGTTTTGACGGAGACAATAGAAAAATTGGGGGTAGACTCGATGACAACCTACCCCGCATACCTTAGAGAACCCGACGAGTCAGGGCAAAATGTACCCAGCTTGCGAGCAGCCCTGCAGCCTTGCTTGGATCACAATGCAACGCAGGCATGACCGCGTGCTCGGCATCACAAATGTGTAATATCACAGTAGTATTATCAGTACCTATCACAGATATGCAGAACAGGGGTGTATCTTGCAACGGTCAATCGGTCATGTGAACGATGAAGTAGACTCGGTGGGTTGAGGACTGCACTACGCGGTATGATGTTGTTCGTGTATGCATCGGGGAAGGTGCGTCACGTCGAATTAAAATCTCTGGTGTCGGCGGGTTTTACGTAGTCACGTAGTGAGTGTGAGTTAGTGCTCGCCCATAGCATGGTCGGACGTTTGCTGGTTCCGTCCGCTAGCCGGCCTCCGGCCGGTGGGCTAGTTGGAAACGGATCCACAAGTTGCTCCTCATCGACGAAACCTTATCGGTAGCTGGACCGAGGCATGGAGTTCGGAATGCATTGGGAGCAGGAAAGGGGATAGTTAAGGGGCGGGGATCAGCCTTTGGCCACCCGACACGGTGGAAGGGAAGACTGCAATGTGTGGAGTATTCCAGTAATATACAGGGGCAGCCAATGCCGTCGTTACCGGTGCCGCGAAAGCCGGAGCCGGAGCCCGAACAGGTTGACGACATCGAGCTATCTCGATGAGGTCGACATGGAATGAGAACCTTGCGGGCTGGGCGCATCACGCCAACTTACACTAACTAGATGAACGGGTAAATTTCCCAATGCAGCTAAAGGCAGCGCGGCCGCGATACCCGGAGGCTCAATCCCTCCTCAGCGTCTCATGAGAACGATGTCGTACTCATGGGCTTGCGAGCCCAAGGACCTCGCGAGTCATGGATTGGTTGCGCGCGGAGGCCGCCTAGGGAGGGAGGCTCGAACGCCATCCTTTGTGTGAGAAGCCATCGACCATGTCTTTCCCACGGGCCCGGCCCGCTGGTCGAGCGGAGGCCCTGCCCCTTTCGCGCTGGCGGCCGTCCCCGCAAAGATGAGGGGGGGCACGCCCGCCCTCCCGGGACAGCGGACCCTTGTTTTCTTTCATCCCTTGGGCTCGACACGGCCGGGTCGTTCCCGAGTGTGTTTCGGCCGGAGTCGCTTTCTTGGGGCAAGCTCATGAAGGCGCACGGCATTTGCAATTGTTGCCGGAGCCGCCTCAGAGGCTAGGGCATTGGCGTGAAACAACTGCGCCCCATATCCAGCATCCCCGGGCGGATATCGGCACTCGCGTGTGCAGATTGGGACGGCATTTGCCTTCGTTCGCGGTGGCGCCGCGAGAGTGGAGAGGAGCTATTTCGTTCTCGAATTCGTCGGTGTCCCGGGTGGGTGAGTGCACTTTTACACTACGAAGTACAAATGTACTTTGTAGCTTCGGGGGAAGCGAAGCTCCGGCGTGGGCCCAGGGAACGGTACATCCCGCAACTTCTCACGGCGTTGAACTGTTGATGAGACATCGGGGTCCATAGCTGTTGTGACTCGGGCCATTCACGTTTTTTAGCAGCTTGGGGGGGGGGAAATCGTTGGAAGATGTGGCCTCTTTCGCGGACATTCGTCGTGGTGAGACAAGAAGACAGGACGAGAAGGAACTAGGGGTTCGCTTTCGTGTCTCTGCCCCTCCGTGACGGCACTGATGGGTGGGAAATGTGATCGTGGGGCCGGTGTTGAGTGGTGGAGGCTGTTTGAACGTTAGCGTCGTCGATCTGGCCGAATTTCCGGGTCAGATTGCGGACCCTCTCTGCTCCTTGTTCAAGATTGCGGTGGAGGATGATGCCACGACCGATGTGGCTCGAATCATATGCTCGAGGAGTCGAGAGTAAGCTTTTTGAGGTTTGGCGTGACGAACAACTCCGGCCGCGCAGCACGAAGAGGGGGCGACTAGCAAAAAAGCATCATGATGCGGCGGATTCTCTGCTTTGCATTGAGAAGGGGGGCAAGTGGCGCCGAAGCTGGTCTAGCCCACGTGGAGAGAGAGCTGAAAATTGGTGATCTTGGACACAGTGGGGTGGTTGATGAGGGTTGCTTGCTGCTTGCCGTGCTTGCCTCGGTGTTTCTGTTGATCCCTTGCCGTCATGGCTACGAACACCAGGGATCAGTAGTTGCTGCGTCCAAGAAGAATTTGCAGCTTGTGGTTCGTGATGGGCCAGACCAACCTGATCGCGGGAAACGGAAGCGCTAACCTGAAAAGGGGACGCCTTTGGGGGGACCCTTGTAGTGACCCCCGTGTTGCGAGCGACTCCACAGTTCGGGCTGGGCAAACGATCCTGCGCTGTTTTGCTGCCCTTTTGTTTCTTTCCTGCATGTTCGATTCACCCCTCGAGGACACACGTGCCTGAATACACACACGTTCCCGAGTCTGTTGTTGTCAACCCGTCGGCTTGGAAGGAAAGCAAAACTCGTGGAGCCCGAGAACATCCGCGTTACTTGTTTAGTCGGGAGAAACGATTGCTAACGTTAACGTTGCTGTCATGTCTACTTCGTATGCTGTGTAGCACGAAGTAGTGTACATCTTGCGATCGGACACCCCAAAATAATCTGCAGGAACTCTGACCACCTTACATAACGAATGACACTTCTTCGCGAGGGTTTGCGGGGAGGGAAGGGTAGCTGAAGACACGGCTGAGAAGGGCCAATTGCATCGCGTGCCCTTGCGCTCAGACGACGGTTGGGTTCCTCCGAGTTGAATTTGTCGAGTGGAAAGACGTTCCCGCGCCCCCCAATATCTCCTCTTTGTGGCGAGATCGGGTATTGGCTGTTTGGTTTTCTGCCTGTCGGGAGAGGAAGGGGTTGACAGTTCTTCCCGTTGTCTATCCCGTTGTCTAGTGGTTGTCTGCTACGAGTGTGTGGTAATTGCAACGGAGCTGAAATCACTGGCGATTGTCCGTTAGCACAGGCGGCAAGCGTCCCGGCCTCGGCGATGGTGTAAATAACCGCCGGGATGGACTTTTGTTACATCGGGGTATTTATTCATTTTTTTTTTTTTTTCAATTTTCTTTTTGGCCCACCTACGCTGGAGATCCATGAGGCTGATAGGGACGGGATGGTGGAGTGCGGCTTGAACTGGACCGTATCGCATCGTGCATATAAACTACAGATTAGGTGGTCGGGACGATAATGAAACATACGTCGTGGGAAAAAAAAGCCATTTGGCTGATCTTTGGGATCGCTGTTCGTTGTTCTGGGCCAAAAGGAGAGAAAAGTCATTTCCACCACGGGTGCTGGGATCTGAGCGGGATTTTCCCCCCTCATCGAGAGGCGGAATCACCCCCAGAATGGACGGCAGGAGAGCTGACATTTGGTTGGACGAGGGGATGATCGTGGGCGACGTTGCATGGACGGGATCGCGCGGATCGTGGGGTGAACAAATCACTGCGCGTCTGTTGATAGGGCACGCGAAGTCAAGGGACGCCTCGCTTTTCGTTGCTACTGGCGAGACTGGATGGGCATAAGTTGATGCTGGGACATTTTTGCTGGAGAGACAAAGACCATGACTTGCCCCGGAAAGCCCGGGTAGAGCCGAAGGATATTCGTGTTGTCTGGGACGAGAAACGTGATATCGTCTTTAGAATAGCCAGAAAAAGGTAGCCCCGTCTATCAGGCACAAATGGTAATTGCAATATTATTGAAGGATGTGTTGAGATGAAAGGAGATTAATGAGTGTCGTCCAGTGAAGTTATTGGCTTCGAGAGCGGCGTTTCGCTCTTTAGCTAGTTAGATCTTCCGGTTTATGGGGTTGTTCGAAATACAATATCTGAAACCTGTGGCGAGAGAAACAAATTTGAGTCCAACGACAACATTTTATCAGCCTCGCTTGTTGGTCTGGAACAAACTTCATAGTGCCAAGACAGTCGGCCAGGGCCAACTCGCAACGGCTCGTTATTCACCTGGTTTGCCTGTCGTTCGCAAGGCTCCCCCGCACTGCGTCTGTGAAAGGCACGGCGGCAGTATGTGGGAAGCACTTCGGTAGACGACAGGTCGTTTTGCAGCACCGCATGCGGCGAAAATCAGATTGCTTATTCTAACGCCTTGTTTGTTTTGCGTCGAAGTCACATGGTTTCCGTCTTTGCTGTTGGCTCTGGCCGCGTTCTGAGCTTCTTGAAGTTCTCGGCTTCGGGGGCAGATTGTACGCGTCAGACCCATCCAAGCACTTTTGTAACCATAGGATGGCGCGGTGTGTGCATGCGACGCGAAAATAGCTTTCCCGCAGTAACTAAAGGCGAGAGTGACGGTGATGGACATTGTCAACGATGGTATCACACTCGCAACCAAGGCGGCACCTCCGAGTCCCACTGTCCCATAGTCCCACAGAGCAATTGCTCGAGAATGACTGGGGCTGACCTTGCGTTATTCGTGGGGTTTGCCAAGCCTCCGCTTGTCGGCGGAAAATGCCTTGGGAGCTTATCTGGACCTTTCGTCGTGGGGTCATGGAAAACCCTTGTGCCAGTCGAGCCAGTGTTGAGCCCGCTGTATTTCCTGGCCGCGGACGGTTCCCCGGTGCCAAGACGGCACCAGCCCCTGGATGCTGACGGGTTTCTCGGTGTCGCAGTGCTTTTGTGTTGAATTCATCAACGCCACTTTCGAAAGCTCACTAGTCCGACTGTGGCAAGCGAGGGATGTGATCTCAATGCAGGGTCGCCTTGCTGCCCGCGCATCACATCGTCAGCTCTCAGGTGCTCAGCTACATATGCGTGGGAGGGCCGGTGTCGCACGCGATAGATGAGCTTGAAGGAGTGATAGGACGTTGTGCGGGATGGTCTTGGTCAGAGAAAATGATTGCGCCGATTGCGTCCCACGTGGGAAAGTTTGGGCTGTAAACCAGGGGCCTGCTGCGAAACTCCCACGGAAGCGACGATCGAGGTCAGGCAAGCAGCAGCGCAATGACCCGGGGCCGCAGCTCTTCTGGGCTGCCGGCAGCTGGTCGTTGCGGGATGTCATGCAGCCACGGTTCGGCCAAGGTTCTCGCTGCCCGTGCAAAGTGTGCTTTCTGGGTTGTTCTTGGGGGGCAGGATGAGCAAATCGCGAGATGTCGCGGATCAATGACGAGCGACGGTTCGCTCGTGGATTGGACGGACAACCTTCGTGTCTTTCGCAGCCCAACGGTGTTCGATCGTCTGGCCCTCAGGCTGGGGCTGCGTTGAGAACAAGCTTTCTTCTGCTTTCTGCAGGTTGCTCCGGCAATGGCGGCCGACATCGCCTGTCAATGGTAAAAAGAGTTGCTCGTCCCAACTATGCATGTCTTGTCTCCTCGTCTCGGAAATCCAAGACAAGAGGTGCCGGATCTTTGTTGCGCAGTGCAGATATACATGCTACCATGTACTTCGTATCAATTGGAGGTACACAATACATCGGGGGTAACACCACTAACGTTACCTCCACCAGTGTAGCTCGTCAAGCTCGTGTAGCTGCGACGAGCTTTCCAATGACCGGGCATTGCCACCCTCCCCTTCCACCAAGTTCCGGTCCGAGATGGGTTGCTCTCCCGGGTTCATGTCCCGGGCGTCTCCAAGTCTCTGAGGTCGAGATTCGGGTCGCCGGGGAAATGCCATTTGGGCGCGAAAGGGAGGCCTTTGATGAAAAGCGTACGCCGGCCTTGAGGGTTGATTATGAGGTGGGTTGGATGAGTGCTCACTAGTTATCAATCGAATCCCTCCGTCTGCGGCACAAACACTTGAGACTGCGAACCCATCGCTGCTCTGGCTCGTCTGGTTTTCAGAGGATTACACCTTCCACCCCAGTGGGCGTCGATAACGCCACAACGGGCGGGGCCAGAAGGCCCCACCGTGCCCGCGAGCAACCACCCCACTGGATGGACCCATCCCGGAGAGAGCATCCAGGGGTCCCGAGCTTGGCCTTGAGATTTTGTTGACCGTGATTGGACCAATGCATGGGGAAGTTCACGGAACCCACATTTGGTGCTCCTTCAACGGCCACTCGACGAAAAAATATTGCTGTTGAACCCTGTCCGGCCTTTTCTGCAGAGGCGGTGGGGCCCCTGTCTGGGAGCCAGGGGGGAGGTGCAATTGAGAGCCGAGAGCAACTCTGCAACTGCGCTTCCGGATGCATAGGAACTTGGGAACTCCCCATTTTTGGCACTTGGGCTTCTCTCTTCACCCTTCTCCATCCTTGACGAGCCTGGAATTGAGCTCTGGTTTGCCTTTTATTGAAACTTCTTCACCTGCAGCGCAGCGTACGAGCCGGGATACTCCAACATTTTCTCGGCAAGCCTTGTCGCACAGGGAGCGATATCTGATTCCGCGCTTCCACTTAGGGGCCGACCTGGGCTGGGGAAGGTGATCTTGCGGGAGTGACTGTGCAGTCACTGTACCACCACGCTTTGCTCCGGCGTGTGTCATGGAAGCTTGACCGACCACGGCCCGCGTCCAACATTATCGAGCTTTCGGTCGCAGCTTCGACTGCCGAGTCGCCGCCATCCGCTCCCGATTTCCCCTCGGCCCAGCGGGCCTTGCGATTGACTCGCCGGAAACGTCCCGTCCCCCAGCTTATTCGTCCTTGCGACCCCGAGAACCCCTCAACACCGTCGTGACCGGGTCACCCTCACTTGCTACGAGACCCATATTCGCCACTTCCCGGCTTTTCGATTTGGATTCGATAAGGTATGCGGAGGATGTTTGCTTTGTGCTTGACTTCTTGCCCGCGTTGTGCGTGGTTTGATCGCTCCGTCGTGCCGAAACTTGGTTCTGGGCCCCGTCCCTAGGATGGATGGGACTGGACCTTCCAAAGGCACATCGCTCTGACCTCGCCTCTGAGACGAGTCTCCCAGCACCGCTCGTCGCCCCCCACTACGAATGTCACCTGCTCGATACCCTTTCACCTCAGATGTGCTTCTTTGGCCTCCAACGTCTTGTGGTCGCTATGACATTGTATCTCCTAAGCTCTAACCTCTGCTGCCACTCCAGTCTCTCATATTCTCGACGGCTTGCCCTGGATTCAACGGCTTATTAGCGACGGTTAACACGACGGTCCGCAATTGCTCGAGCTGGACTCCCATTTTCGAAGCGGAGATTTGAAACCCGACACTACCGCGTACTGGACTATCCTGCCACTCGCTGGGTCGTTTGACCCAAGTGCGGCACACTCTTGGCCACCTATGTTGCGCGAAGGGGGCGATTGGAGACCATCGCAATGATGAACAGTGAGGGCAATAGAACCAGCTTGCAAGTGGCTCCCTTAGCGATTTCGAAGAGCCGAGACTCCACAGGCGGCGAAGGCTCGGAATCCTCGGACTCGACTACCTCTCACCCACACGCTCAGATGGCGACGCCCGCCGCGACGGATGGGCTGGAGGACGACCAGAACATGACTCTCGGCAGCCCCGTCTTCCACAACTTCTTACGCGCTTTCTATCCTTTCCACCCCGATTACGTGACGAGTGATTCGACGGTCACATTACCGCTGAGCGAAGGCGATGTTGTGCTTGTACATTCTATTCACACTAATGGATGGGCCGACGGCACATTGTTAGCCAACGGGACGAGGGGCTGGTTGCCAACTAACTACTGCGAGCCTTACGACCCTGAGGAGATCCGTAACCTGCTCAAATCGCTCTTGAACTTTTGGGACCTGATGCGCAGCACACTCGTGAGCGACAACGAGATGTTTGGTAACCAGGAGTTCATGAAGGGCATTATCGCAGGTGTCCGATACCTCTTGGTAGGTGATGTTGTTGGACGGTTGCCTTCGCATGAACCCTATATCTCTAACATTCTTGCGCAGGAACGAACTCAGTGTTTAACAAGAGAATCTCCTTTGGTTCAAAGGCACGAGGGGCTTCGGCGCAGTCGGAAGTCACTCCTGTCAGAACTATCGGCGTTAGTCAAGACGGCTAAACGGCTGCAAGACGCGCAACGCATGATTGGCACCGAGAACATCAACGACATTGTGGACGAGATGATATTGAAAGCCTTTCGGATCATCACAAAGGGTGTGCGGTTTCTGGACATCCTTGAGGACGACCGGAGAACTCAGCCGCCAGTCTTTAGTGTACTAACACCATTGGTCGAGGAAGTCCTTGCACCATTAACGCCGCCAGCCGACTCGATCGGTTTCCATGTCGCACAGGACGGCACCGCTGCTGCAGGATCCCGGGTCAGTGAACAAGGACAGGAGTGCGACTTGGTCCCTTCGCTCCCTCGCGAACCGAGTCTAGAGCCGACGCGGCCTGCCAGCAGCAACCGTTTGTCCTCCAGCTACCTGCAACAAACGCCGGACCCGCGTCGAACCTCACAGACCAGTTTATTGCAAACGAACCGGCTCTCATCTACCATTTCACACCGCGTCAGCCTAGCTGGACTTTCGGCCTGCTCTCGACCCCAGAACCTGGTTTCCGAGCGACTCAACAGCTGCCACGACATTTTCCTTTCGCATTTAGGGTCGTTTATCGGTCGGCTCCAACTCCAATCCCAGTCGCGACCCAGTCTCGCGGTTGCTATCAAGCAGTCTGCAACTTCCGGCGGCGACTTGCTCTTGGTCGTCGACGTGGTTTGCGCCCGCACATCGGTGAGCATCGACGCGCTAGAGCACGCTCGTTCTGCCATGTACAACCGGATCCAAGACCTCGTCCACACGGCGCGTGACATCCTCCAAAACCCCGAGCCGGACATGGAGGAAGACGTGATTGTTCCACACGACAATGGCCGCTTGTTGGGAGCAGCCACAGGGTGTGTCAAGGCTACCGGGGAGTGCGTTGCGAAGACGCGATGGGTCATCGAGCGAATTGGCGACTTTGAGTTCGAGTTTGACAATGGGAGTTTGGGTATTGACTTCGACGTGTCCGACTTGGCCTCAATCCAAGACGAGGACCAGTTCAAATGCAGCAGCGTCGACTTGCCCAGCGTCGCCGAGTCAATCGTATCCGAAACACCAACAGCCTCGTCTGTCGCCACCTCTATGGATAGCCCCGCCATCGTACACTCCCGGGCTGTCTCGGTCGACAAACCCCTTCCGGAGGTGCCCCGGGAAGAGACCCCTCTTGTTGCCGACGAACCGGTGCGACCTTCGTCGCCCATTACACCACAGCCGCAGCCGGCTGTTCTAGATTCTGGCGCTGCAAACATGGCCTCCTTGGTTTCGTCCCTACGCCCCGATCTGCCGGCGCTACCGAAGATCTCAACCACATCGCTGCCAACTGATTGCTTCAGCCCCGCCGAGCAGTCCGCCATTCAGGAAACCGAGTTCCACGCTTTCCAGGCAGAAAGTATGACCGCCACGAGCTCTGGCTCCGGTAGCACCTATCTTAGCCGAGACTCTGAATCGAGCATCATGTCGCAAACCTCGACCCGTGCGACAACCCCAGATCTTACCAACCAAGCGACACAGATTCAGCCATCCATGTCAAGCCTGAGCTTGGCACCGACGGAGGAAGAGGAGGCAGAGTCGAGGCTCCTGGAAAAGACATTCGCCCACGAGCTAATCTTCAATAAGGAAGGCCAGGTGACGGGGGGGTCGCTGCCCGCCCTTGTCGAGCGCCTGACAACCCACGAGTCGACCCCTGACGCCTTGTTCGTATCAACTTTCTACCTCACCTTCCGACTTTTCTGCACGCCGGCCACCCTCACGGAAGCCCTGATCGAGCGGTTCGACTATGTTGGAGAGGCCCCACATATTGCTGGCCCGGTGCGCCTGAGGACGTACAACGTCTTCAAGGGTTGGCTCGAGTCCCACTGGCGTGAGGATGCCGACCATGAAGCGCTCCCGCTCATCAAGGAATTTGCCGAGCAACGCCTGACTCCCGTCCTTCCGTCCGCTGGCAAACGGCTGCTTGAACTGGCCGAGAAGGTTACGGCAGTCGACGGAACCCTGGTGCCACGCCTCGTCTCGTCGATGAGTAAGACTGGCAGCTCCCTTCCCCAACTTGTTCCGGCTGATGGGCCGCTTCCGTCCTCCACCATCAGCAGGAGCCAGGTCAATGCTTTGAACAACTGGAAGAGCGGAACAGCCACACCTTCGATCGTGGATTTTGACTCGATCGAAATCGCCCGTCAGCTGACGATGAAGCAAATGTCCCTCTTCTGCTCGATCACACCTGAAGAACTCCTGGAGTCGAAGTGGACGAAGCTTGGCGGGGCCGACACACCGAATGTCAAGGCCATGTCTTCCTTCACGACCGGGTTAACCAACCTAGTCGTCGACACCATCCTCAGCCATGACGAAGCCAAGAAGCGAGCCCAGGTGATCAAGCAGTGGATTAAGATCACCCACCAATGCTCCTTGCTTCACAACTACGATGCGCTCATGGCCATTACCTGTGGCCTAGCTGACACAAGTGTGAAGCGCTTGAAAATCACCTGGGATGCCGTCCCTGCGAAGCGGAAGGAGATGCTGAGGTCGCTCCAGGCTTCCGTTGACTTCAACCAGAACTTCAAGGTTCTCCGCGCCAAGCTCCACGACCAGGTCCCACCTTGCCTGCCCTTCCTAGGGATGTACTTGACGGATCTCACCTTCATGGATGTCGGTAATCCCGCCACCAAGACAAACGATAATGGGTTGACCGTGATCAACTTCGACAAACACACACGCACTGCCAAGAGCATTGGTGAACTGCAGCGGTTCCAGATTCCTTATCGCCTCGCAGAGCTGCCAGATCTCCAGCAATGGCTGACGGCGGAGGTTGAGCGCGTTCTCGAGAAGGAGACGACGGGCACCAATGCCCAAGCTTCGCACTACCGCAAGAGCCTGCTCCTTGAGCCTCGCGAATTGCATCAACTCCGCACACCCCTTGAAGGGCCCACTACCCCGTTAGGGGGCGGCATGTTCAGCTGGATGAGGGGGAACGGTGGGAACAACGGTCTTTCTGCCTAACTCCCATACTTGTCTTCACTATGAGCAGGTCCACCGCTTTTTACGATCTCCGACTATCACCCTCAACATACAAACCCCACGACATCTTATATTATTCTCTGTTACGCATATTTACCTTCTTATGATACCCTTTATTTTACCTGTGTTACTTTTCATTCCTACCTCGGCCTATTTTTGGCATTCTCTGCAGCCACCCACTTGCAACGGCTGTCCATTTCTACCGCAGGCATTGCGTTGTTTACGTCCACCTCCCACACCCTGGAGCTCTTCTTTTCACCGATCATACATCTCTTACCTACCACCCAACCCGACCTCTGGGACACAGATTCCCATATTTCCTTTCCTGTCTTGGCTTTTGGGGATTCTGAAAAAAAAGTGTTCGGGTAAAGAAAAGACTTTCGGCGGTAACGCACCGGGGAGGGAAACGGCAGTGCTTTTACCAATGCGCTCGGCTGTTCTTGGCCGCCCTTGCCTCGTTCATTTTCATTCTCATATTGCTTATTTGACTTATTTATCCGTCGCCTTCGGAGACAGCAATATATGTGGGACTGGTCTCTATTTAGGGTGTTGATGGCCCCGATGATGTGACAGCACGACCGAGATGAGGTTCTGTGCCTGTGGGGTGGGTGGACATGTTGCCTTTATATTTTCCTCTATTTTACTCTTCACTCGCGGAGCACAGCGCGATTTTGTTCATTCTTGTGTATACTATTTTTGGGTGCGGGGAGTTTTCTTTTTACAGGCCCCTGGATATAGTCTCAGGACGTGGCGCACCGCGGTCTTTCCGTGCCAGGGAAATGAGATCATGGGATCGGGGTGGGTGGGTTGATGGTTGGGTAGGCAGCATGGCGAGCGGTCGATAGCTTTGGTTATGGAATTCAATGAATTATTCTGATGTTACCTACTCTTTGCCTTGCTTGAACTGTGAACTTGTCGTACTCCCTAGTTCCTTTGCTTTACTTGAGGGCAGAGTCTCGGGCAAACCATTTACCCTCAACCCTAACCCTTGCTCTTGCACCAGGCCTGCAACTCACGCCCTGTCAAAGACAAACTTCAACGACCCCGAACTCTCTTCATCACCACAAACCTCCCCAACGTGCCAGCGGAACAACAGACCTCACCACAGTACAAAACACCACCCAGGAAGCCCCCACATTGTACATCATCACCAACAGGCTGCCCCCTTTTCCACCCACCTCACTCCATTAACCACAAGACAAAGACCGAAAAGAAGACACCGAAACCAACACAGCATAAAGCAGCGAACAAAAGGACAGCCAACTCATTATCAACATCATGCCCCGCTCCGATGAAGCCCAAGCCTTCTTCCACGCCGTCTACTCTGCCGTGCAGGAGATTCCACGGGGGAAGGTGACGACGTATGGGCATATCGCGTTGTTGGTTGGGACTCGTACGTATTGTGCCACGCTTATCCTGTACTGTCTGTAGCTCTCTGTAGCTCTTGATGACGGATGTGAGGGTGGCTATGAGCACGGATCGGCCCGTCTCTTCCCCGCCTTCACTTGGACCGACGAGGCCAGAGAATAATTTGATGTCATTGGACTGACGGTTCGTGCACATGATGCATCTAGCCCAGCGACCGCGACAAGTCGGCGTGTGCCTGAAGCATTTACCGGCCGCATCAACAGACGAAGAGGGCGAGGGTGGAGGAGAGGGTGGCGGTTCCCTGCCACGATTCCACCATGATAATGTACCCTGGCAAAGGGTGATTAATGCGAAGGGGGTGATTTCACCACGGTAGGTTTGGTTCTTCTCTACCTTTTGCACTTTTCTACGTTCAGTTTCATGGGAAGTTGGTAGCTTCTGGAAGGGGGAGGGATACAGAGGAGTGAAAGGCGGAGAGTGGCGCTGACAGACATGACAGGTCCCAACCGACTGGAGCGCGGAACCAAGCAGCAGTTTTGGAGGGCGAAGGGGTTACAGTAACGACTGGGGCGTTGGGAGAGTTGATGGTGGATTTTGCTGAGTTTGGGTGGTTTCCGAGGGTATTACCTTCAGAGGAGGGGATGGATTTGGGGGATGAGGACGAAGATGCAGCGGAGGGTGAGGAGAGTGAAGATGAGGGAACACCATGAGTTGAGGCTAAGGGAGGTCACAATCGGAGGGCATGCTTTGAAGACATCATATCAGTGGGGATGGTAGTCTCAATCTCAATTGTGACTGGCATGATAATGCCGCGACCATTACGCCGCGCGAGACTAATGTTTAAAACCCCTGAGATTGCTCGGAGGACCCCAATGCAAAGCACGGCGATGTGATATAACCTGGCTTTTTAACGGTCAGCAACTGGGGCATACAATGAAGATATGCAAGGCAAGACGTAGAAAGATGCTTTCTCAGATAGCGGTTGGACAAGTTTTTCCACATAGTGTTTCGGTACAGGTCTGTGAACATTGTTTCTCTCATCATAAAAGCAAGGTGTGGCCTAACGGCCCACAGTAAGAGAAAATGAACGTACCGGATGAGTGGCCGTCGACAACGGATGCAGAGACAACACAACTGGATTGTCTCGCACATATTATTCCGACGCAGCCTTGACCTTCTTTTTGGCTGGCCCAAAGAACGAGTCTACAGTTCGCTGGCGTTTGTCGAACTTGGCGCTGCCAATCCCGCCTCGAGTCTTTTTCAAGCCCTCGAGATGCGTGAGGATGTTGACGCCAACCACAGCTAGGACAGTGTGTGGGATCGACGGCGATTTTGGAGACGACTTTGGGGAGGCTGTCCTATTACCAGACATCTCGCCCGGCCGCCCGGGAACCGGGCGGGCAGCAAGCTCGGCATACCCAGTATTGCCCCAAGACGCTGATCTCGTTTCCTCTTGCGGGACTGCGCCAAATTGTACCAGCACAACTCGCAAAAGAGAGTCGAGAATCAGCCCGTGGGCGACGACGACCACATGTCCCACATCACCAGGCCGATCAGCCGCTGGACGCAGCAGAGGCGCGAGATGGTTGATGACGAACCGCTCCGCGCGCTGCCGCATGGCTTCACGGGACTCCATACCCGCTTTGGAAAGGTCTGCACCAAACTTGGCGCCCTCACCGGTACCAAAGTCGCGTTCACGGAGCTCAGGGAGTTGGACGATGTCCAATATCGGAGCCTGGCTCTCGGTGCTCTGGTCGTCTCCATCGGCAACAGCTGTGGCTACGGTCGGCGCGACGGTAGCAACCGGGTCCCTCGCAAGCTGGGCATCCACAATAGCCTGCGCCGTCTCGACAGCCCTTTTGAGATCCGACGCGAACACATGTGTCACACGTCCTCCATGTCGTTGTGCGGTGCTCTCATCCGATCGCGCGTGGCTGGCGAGATGCGCACCGAGGCGACGAGCCTGTAAGACGCCATGGGCTGTGAGCGGAGAGTCGCGGGATCCTGCGCTGAGGTGGAAGGTTAGCTTCAGGCGTGCCTGGTGCAATCGTTCCAGGGCGGGCGTAGCCGCGGCGTAGTAAAGAGAGGAGCGAACCTACTAAACACCCGCTACATTGTCGACGGTCTCGCCGTGGCGAACGAGGAAAAGCCGAATGGTCATGTTGCGGTTTCGAGCCGTTTGGTGTGCTCTAGCTTCCAGCAGCGCGCTGGTCAATCAATTGGGAAGCATTGATGTTTTCCGGCCCAGGCTGGATGCAAAACAAATCATGGCGCAGGCATGGCGAGTTGCGTGCAAGGAATTGCGTGCAAGAAAACAGAGCTTGCAGCGCAATTGGCGGCTTTGAAAAGGTGGTTGTGGTTGATGAGAGTGGGAAGAAAGGTGGGAGAAATTTTGAAGCTGCGAAAATTTCAATTCCATCGCTTTTGAACTGAAAGAAAGAATCCCCCAGAATACGGCGCTGTTATTGGTTGGACGGGTGGAGTCTCCATGGGCCCATTTTCGGAATGTGGGGTTTGGTCCATGTCAAGGATGAACCGCCTTGATTACACGTAATTCCTAAAATTATTTCCTCTATTATCGATCTCATGATTTAACTCAAGAGTAGCTAATCTGGAACATCTTAAAAGAAGAAAAGAAAAAGAGAACAAAAGATACAAACGAGAGACTCATTACATCGCTGCAGTGTACTGTGGAGAGATGTGATACCACGAGAGCTGCGGCCTTCAGCTGTCGCTAGGCTTCACGACGCGACATGTTTTGATGCAGGTTGGGCTACGCGAGGCGGGGTCGTCTCGGATAGTCAGGGCCGCAGGATCTCTTCAGCACTGTTTTGACTGTAATTAACAAGCGTCTTATCTGGATCCAAATCCTCGCAGAGGATCTTGTCTTTCCCTCACGTGCGGGAACACGGTGAAATGCGGAGAAGTATCGGCTTAGAAAAGCTCAAGGTGTCTGGTCCCGGTGTTGAAAACCCTCGTCTTGGGCGCTGTCGATCACTTTTGACCGAGTTTCGATGGGGGAGCGCAAGATGAACAAGCACGACAAGCGGATTGGGTCAACGACCGCCTCGTTCCTGCAAGCCCCCGCCTGCGGCTCTCACAGCGATGCATGAGAGCGCTGGGTTGGGCTGAATTACTGCGACGTGGCCAACCTACGGGGGCCATCCATGATCTTGCCCGCTGTGGTGGCACGACAAGTCAGACCATTAGCGGTTGGGGAATGTTCGCCGCAATGCATCCCGCCTGCAATAATTAAATAAAAATGGAATGCCAGAACGAAAAGCCAGACGGCCTGTCAGTTGTCTCTAGGTTTGGGCTTTTAGTCTGGTTTGGTACATGTACTGTCCTCTACCGGGACCTAAGTGCCACAACAACGCAGTCGTCGATATGTGTGGTTCTGGAGTCACCTTGATCAGCAATGCCTAAAATAGTCGTTCTTGAGAGTCGTGGGTCCAGCGTTCTCTTCCACCATGACCCAATATTTGCAGGCTAACAAGAAGAGCAGCGGAAGACGGTGGGAGGTGGGAGAGAAGGACCATGGACCTTCAGGTTGCCGAGCTGCCCAAGCGTTGTTACGCGTAAAGGATGCCACACTCTGGGTTCCTTTACGGCTGCTGACTGCGTCTTAGTTTCCTCCATGAGAAGGACTATCCGCTCGCGGGCGCGCAACGCGACTCGCTTCTCGACCACTTTGGCGTGCCCAAGTTCGTCGGGAGCAAGACATGCACGGAGTTGAACGGCTACTTTGGCTGCAAGGCAAAGTATGATACCCATCATAATCTGACGAGATACAGCAAGTAATTCCCTTTCCGTGCACTTCGTGTGGTCGTTCCCGGCTGACGAAATGTCACTCGTTTCAAGCGACGTGGTTTCGCTGCCTGTTCAAGATGATCCAAAAAGTCAAGAAAGACCCGCACGATGACGGCCCTGAGTACACCAAAGGTACGAAGGGCTACATCTGGTATGAGACGACCGTCTTCACCGCCTGGGATCACTCGGGTTTGTGTCAAGTGCTCTGCATCGACACTCCGTCTGATTGTCCCACGGAGTTGCAAAGGTTGCTGGCAAGGCTCCCGGCGCCGCTCAATTTCAGAGACCCATTTGCTATGCATGCTAGCTTGCTGGACCAGCTGGTTGTGTACTGCGACATCTCGGTTTGGCGAGTGCGGGACCCCGTCCGTCAGCTGGAAAAGGTGCGTGGGTGAGGGCGAATACATGCAAACGACCCAAGGCTGATGTTCCTTCCTCGCCCAACAGTCTCGACTGCAACCGGGGGAGGTATTTGAACCCACTCACGAGTACTCACGCCACGCAATCCACGTGTCCGAGGTGTTAGATTCGGTGGTGGAGACCTTGACGGAGATGCAACGCTGCCGAACGGAGATACACAAGCGTCTGTCCGACTTGGACCAACCTTACAAGGAGGAAGCTATGGAATACGCGCAGTTTCAAATGTCACTGATGAAGAACTTGAAGCGCCGGTCTGACTCGAATCGGGCCCGGTTGGTGGATGAGATCAATCTGGTACGGGTACCTACATGAGTCGCGGACTGGCACCATGGGTAAGGGTAGTGCTGACCATACGTTGATTAGGCGTTCAACTCCCTCGCCCGCCAGGATAACGACTTTATGAAGTCCATCGCCCTCTTGACCATGGTTTTTCTCCCCGCTACCTTCATTACGGTATGCACTACCTATCTGCGTATCAAACCACTGACCACAGATTTTGAGCCCAACTGACGCTTGTTTACTACCGTAGGCTTTCTTCAGCACCACCTTCTTCTCATACGGCGAGAATGACCAGGGATGGCGGGTGTCTGGCCAGTTGTGGGTTTATTGGGCCGTAATGGTACCGGCCACGGTTGTTATCATGTCCCTCTGGGCTGTGTGGCTGGCTAAAGGTGGTAAAACCCCAAGCTTCCATAAGATGCGGCTGAAGTTTCCTTTCCGTCGGTTTCCAAGGACCAAGGCGTCAAAACAACCCAAGCCAGAGGCCGCGCAAGTGTAACTTTCGGCACGAGGCGGCTGCCTTGGGTTTAAAGGTTAGGTAGCAAGAGTGGGTGAGTGGGCAGCGGGGAAAGATTTATTTCATGTAATAGGTAGCGGTTATCTTGATAGTGTTCTAATTTATTAACATGTACGACGTTTAATCATGTAAACAACAATGAGATGGAAGAATGGCAGTGGGATTGATGAGCGGACCGAACGCTAAGAGCTGGTTCGATAACGAAAACGTCAAAGGGGCTGGTTTGTTGTCAATCATGGATAGTGGAGAAGAAGAATCGATCTATTTTTGACTTCCTCTGACACCGTCAATACCTCAGTTGAGGAAGTCATGATTAGTGCCGTTTGAGGCGTGGCGTTATATCGCACCTGATGGTCGGTGAGATGGAAGTAAAGGCCACCACACTGCATGTGGTAAGACATGTAGAAGGTTCGCTTGCTGGGGCAGTTGGGGGAAACAGGAAACAACAGACCACGAGCCACGGGCCACTAGCTTCAAGCTTTTGTAGACCGTTGTCTGTCGGAGAAAATTTGGAGAAAATGAGAAACCTGCATCCGACTGGTAGGTATGTACTTACCAGCGCCATACTTGAGTCTACCTCGCAGCGGTGCAGCTTACCCAGCGTAGTTTGGAAAGACATGCCAATTTTCTTCTCAACAGCAGTTCACTGTTTGTGGTAGGGGACGGGGCATTCGGCAAGGGGCTCGTGGGAGGAAAGGGTTAATTACTGGTTACCTAGGGTTATTAGTAGGAGTCATTTCACACCCAAGAAGCTAACCAGTGGTCGCTTATGCTGTGAGCATGTTCACAACCTCGGCCTGTCTTGAGGCGGAAGGGATCCCACAGCGTTGGAGTTAATGCTTACATGAGGTGAAAGGATTGGGTCCTGGAATAGATATGTAATTACGCCTATTTAGTACTCCCATGACTCCTCCTCATCTGAGTGGAAACTGTACTCAAGCTCGGAACTATCGTCACTAACACTACCGGCATCGGGCTCGCTTGGCTGACCCTCTGTGGAGACAGTACAGTGACTGGCTGGGGAAATAGACCCGAGAGGAGACCCCTTATCCTCCTTCTCTGGCTTATCCTCGACCTCCTTCACCGCTATCTTCGCGCCGTGTTCCTTCAGAACGTTCACTGTGTCCACGGCGAGGTTGTCAATGGCCTTGGAAAGCGGCGTGTGGCCGAGCAAGCTGGCCGCGTTGACATCCGCCCTGCCCGTGTTGAGGAGCCGACGTACAATCTCCGTGTGGCCGCCTTCCGCGGCCCACAACAGTGGCGTTTGCTTGTACGTATCGCGCGAGTCAACATCCACCGCATCCTCGAGTTCTAGCAAGATTTTCACGATGTCCTCGTAGCCGCAACCCGCGGCAAGCGACAGCGGCGTGCGGCCGCCCGTTTCTTTACCGTCAACATTGATGGCGTCTCGAGCATCTGCAAGGAGGATGGAAACGACAGTGTCCCGGCCGAACCCCACGGCTAACGAGAATGCAGTTCGGCCTTTGCTGTCCTCGAGGCTTGGGTTCGCACCCCGGCCGAGCAATTCCCGAACCACGTCCCCGTGTCCGTACTGAGCGGCTTTCATGAGCGGCGTCATGAGCCCAAGGCTTTCACGGCAATCAAGTTCCGCTCCGAGAGTGCGGAGCAGCAAGGAAACCATGGATAGTTGGCCGTCCTGAGCGGCCAAACACAGGGCCTTGGGCGCGACTCGGTCTTTCCAGCCCGCATCCATTCTCTGTAAGCCCGTCTGGACGATGAGCTCCACTACGGCCTCATCCCCGCCGGAAATGACCCATAGCAGCGCACTGTCAGCCTGTCCCTCCCTGGGGTCGGAATGGGTAAGCAACAGCCTCACGGAATCCATATGGCCATTACGAGCCGCCCAAGACAGTGGCAGCAGGTCTTCGTTGTCCTTTTGCGCCTCGCTACTCATATCCACGAGTCCTGATTCCAGCAGCGCCGCGACAATGGGTGTGAGGCCATTTTGGGAGGCCAAGGAAAGCGGAGTTTGGCCGTCCTTGTCTTTCAAGTTCGGATCCGCACCACGGTCGAGAAGCAATTGAGTGATCTTGACGTTTTCGAATGACACGGCCCACATGAGCGGCGTGCGGCCCTGACCGTCCTGCACATTGCGGTCCGCTGTCTCCTCGCGGTCTAGGAGATCGTTTATGATGTCTGCAGCGGCGAATTGCACAGCTAGATGAAGGCCCTTTGCACCACTAGGGATCTCTTGACTATAGCCGGGCCAGAGCATGTACTCCTCAACCACCAGCATGGCTTGGCCTGCGGCTTCCGTCTTCTTGGAACTGCCCAGGAAGTCCCGAAGGATCTTGCTGCTGTTACTACTCAAACAGGCTTCGCGCGCATGGTATCCCCAGTTACGTGCCGCATAGCCGTAAAGGGGGTACTCCCGCAGTCGGGTTTCGAAGTCCTTGTCCGTGGCGCAGAACCCGTTGGCGAAGTCGTCGAACGATAGATACGTGACACATGTGTTGGCAATGTAAGCCTCCGCATCGGGACGGATCCTCCGTTTCCCAGAATCACTTCTCAGGTACTCCTCAGCCGTGTGGTGAATGAGCCGAACAATATCGCTCTCCTGGTCAACCGTAAGGAGACCTGCGCAGGCTGACATAACCACTCCCATGTCGGAGCAGTTCCTCCTGTCGAAGCTTTTGTCTCCCGTGCTTACCGCAAGAGCATGGAGGAGCTCCGACGTTGTCAGAGGCCGTCTTGCGCGCGCCACCCATGACAAAGCTTTTTTGGCAAACGAAGCCTGCTCCGACTTTTCGATGCGGTTCATGATTTCTTTGTACAGGTCTTCATACCTCTTGTCATGATCGGCCAAGGCCTCTTCAATCTGCCGCGGCGTTTCTTTCTTCTTCAGGGAGCTGTTGAGATCCAGCCAAAAGTCAGTAAGGTGAGGTAGTTGCTTCCCCAGTGGCCAGGACCCCTGACTCAAAAATTTGAACGCACCTAAGATACAGGCGCACCAGGAGGAACATGCCGCATGCAGCCGCCATTATGGCAGCCTTAATCCTCTCCTGCAGATCTGGTTGAGCGCCGACAAACCGGGGGAGTTCCACCATGTGAGCATCTAAGTATCGCCCTACGTCGTTGGCATCGGCCTTGATTTCCAGAATTGACGTGCTCGGGAAGCTCATCTCAATCTCGCGATCAGGCCTCGATGTTGTGAAAATGTTGGCGCCATGAAGATCTCGGAGGTGAAAAAGTACCTTGAGCAACCGCAGCCGACACTCCCTTGAACACTCGTCGAGAGCATCCACGAAGATGTAGGTTGGTGTGCACCTCTCTACAACGGATTCGATGCAGACGAGTATATCGGACAAGGGTGGTCTCGTTCTGGCTCCTTTGTACTTCTTGTGGAGCTGTTTGACACTCTCGGGCAGTGGACTGCACCCCTGACTGAGGTGCTTCAACATGCTCGACAGTAAATACTCTGGGGTCTGCCTCACCTGTTGTGAGAAGCTGCAATATAGATAAGCGACGCCGAGGGCTGACCCATCCTTGCTTTCCCGTTTCAACCTCAGGAAATGGTCGACTACGACGGCCGTGAGCACGGTCTTGCCGGCCCCAGGCATCCCGCGGCAGAATAAGGAGCCTCCCTTCCGGAAAAACCATTCCTTGAATTCCGGATGGTTGAGAATCCACTGGGCTGTTCCTGGCTGCCTCCGGCTAAGGATATCGTCGTGTTGGTGGGCGTAATCGTCTGGTGCAATCCAGTCAAGGGTGTCATTCTCCTTGTTGTCGTCAATGTTGGACTTTATTGCCGCCACATCTTGTCGGGCTAATACCAAGCTTTGTCCGACCTGGGCCACTTGCTGTTGGACTAAGGGAGGTAATGTTAGAATGTATACCGACCCAACTACGCTTTAGGCTCACGAGGTACAGCAGTTCAATCCCTGTTTGTGTGTTTGTTCAAAACTTTTGACGGGGTCCCGGTTAAAACTTCAACCTTTGCTCGTTCGAGACAACAAAAACCATACAAAATAAGCTTTTAGAGGTGCGCGACTCATTCAAGGCCCAAAGCCTAATCTCCCCCACTCAACATGTCTTCTTCCACATAAAAATGCGCTGCTCCCTGACAAAGTTTAAGATCCCAGCCATAGCGCTAGGCTCAAAGTTGCACAGTGACCAAAAACGAGGGATTGAACTGCATGCTCCCCATCTGACCCGAAAGCCAAGTAAGACAAACACTACTGACCGTTCCCAAGAATTTTGCTGATCTTCTGCTCAAGCTCAACCTTGTTGGGGGCAATGAGGTCCAAGAGATCCCTGGCATACGCCGCTGCGACCATAGCTGCATACCCCTGCCAAGCCTTGTTCTTGTGGGAGTCGCTGTAATCACATATTCCTAGAGTACTGTTAGTCACACTGTACTCCAAGGAATAACATGATAAGATCGAAGACCCGGAGGAAACACTGAAACAGACCCACCCCGAATCACGAGGCAAGGAAAATGGTTCATCAACCCTGCAGCCTCCATTTCAAAGCACAAGACATTCTTCTCTGCGGCCAACCGGTCTCTGATCGTGGCATCCTTCATCACCTGGTTAGCTGAGCCGATCAGGCCATGGAAGATTCTCAACTCTTCCTCGACGTCAATAGCACGCTCAGGTCGCTGGATGATAGCACGTTTATCTTGGGCGCAGGTCACATCACAGAGCCTGTCTGGATTCCCATGAACCTTGGTACTGACGTACAGAATGTCGGTGCTAGGGTTTGGCTTTCCGTATTGCCTGTTGAGCCTCTTCTTCTTCTGGAGAAGGCCGCCGACCGTCTCAACGATTTTATGGCGGTCGCCGTCATAGTCTTGATACTCGGCCTTGAGAGCGCTCACGGCAGATAGGAGGAGCCTTGGTGGCTGGTTCAGAGACCCGGTGGCCTTGAAGCCCTGGCCTTGCATCGCCTTGCCCATGTCGTATTGCATCACGCCGCCCTCCCCAGCGGTCGGGGAGCCGATGACGATGTCACCTAGGCGAATATCATTCTGCCGAGAGAGCGATGATGAAAAGCATTAATTAGCCCCAGTTGAGGCGTCTTTGAACTCTAGGAGGGAAATGACACAAACCTTAGCAGACGGGGCGCCACCGCCAATGCCCACCATCAGGCCAATTCGAACGTTGGGGAAGCTGTGAAGCATGTCCCTCGCAACGGCAGCCGCAGAGGTTGTACCATATACGCCCTCGGGCATGACAGCAATGACCACGTTATGGTTTCCCATCTTGCCCACCGTGTAGATGTTTCCATCATGCGCTGCAACTGACGTCGGCTGCTCGTGTTTCTCGTCCAAAAAGCATCGGGCCGCTGTGTACTCGGTGCTGAGGGCACAGATCCAGCCGACAGTGTAGGTGTTGGGGTCCGACATGGCTTCGACAACGGCGTCTTGAGAAGGGGTATTGTAGGGACAATGGGTTGGGTACTGGACTAGGGAGTACGGAAAGCAAGAGGAGTTTGCAGAGAGACAAGACACTTCATGTGAACTTACTTACCCCTAAAAGCTCAACTATGAATGCGGCCCGTCGAGCGAGCCTGCTCTACGTACCAGCAGAGCCGCATCCCATGGCCATGGACCATGTTAGATCGTCGTTGGGCATCTCCGAATCTCTTCCGTAATCCGACCCGCCTCACGTTGGGCCGCACTCCGATCCCACCAGCATCATTTCCTCTCACAGCTCTGATAAGCGTTGATCGGTTTATGCTGTGGTGATGGTGGCGTTGTGGGAGAGGGTTGCTGGATGGGATTGGTCTGGCGGCTAACTCGGTTGGCCAAAAGTCGACTAATTAATTCAAATCTCTCATGATACCACACCTGCCTGCGAGGGCGGCCTGACAGCAGCCAGTGATATCAAAGCTGATAGAATGAATGGCCATTGGGTTTTGCTAACAGACGAGCAGCAGATCAATCACGAGGGGGCCACCAGCGCAGAGATCCACGATCACCGATAAGCCTCGCTGCCTTCCTGTCCTATGGTTAGATTGTTCTAGTTCAAAAAAAAGGAGCAAGAAAATGGAGCAACCCAACCTCCATTGGGGAGAAAAGAAATAGCATTGAAGCTGTTGGGAAGGAATCAGCAAGCTAAATTGAGTAAAGTGCCTGTAGGTACTCTTACATTTCCGCCTCGATTCCGTTTACAAGCAGATTCCAACCATCCCCTTTGGCGACAACAGCGGTGGTAGTGATACTTCTTGTTTGGGAAAAAGCCGAGACATTTTGGGCCGTTAGGAAACGCAGCCTAGTCGACCGGTGAGCAACAAGCTCGCTACAACCTTTCAAGTTGGGCTCGAGCGGAGACCTGCAGGTGTGCTTGGGCTGTACCAATGGCGCGAGCTCCCACGGGCCGTTCCATGAACTGCGGCTGGCTGAGTTGAAAGCGGGGTGCGACGTTCCCCCGCGGTCATCATGCAGGCAACCTAATCGAAAGAGGGGGAGCTCAGAAACAGGGTCGAGACCAGTCTGTTGGGAGGTACTTTCGAGGCTTAAAATCAAACAAGTACCTGGAGGATACGGCGGTGAGAAGTCTTCACTCGGACAAAACTTGAGCTTGCTTTATTTACCAACCCCACGAGTGGGATTAATTGTCTCGAGAGCGTTTCCTGAATAAGGCCCAACACTCGATTAAAGCAGGTTTCAATGCAACTGGACGTCCCTGGAACCAAAAACCGTACGTTTTCCAGAATGCCATTGCACGATGGCTGCAATGCAAGATCAGTGTGTAATGTCAGGGATCGGTCATAGAAGGACCGGGGCCAGGTTAGGTAGGTAAAACAAAACTGCGAAAAGGGGGTCCCGCCCCTGAAAAACAGCCCCGCTCAACACAAGTTACACAACTTAAAATCCACCAGCACCATACGTATAACACCCTGCGTTATTAATTTTCCATGAGAATGGCGTGTTCCGAAGCTATTTTGTTGTTGGCGGTAAAGTTTCCAAGTTGATACAAATTCTTGAGGTTCTGGGTAGACGTCGATACCTACCTCGGTACCTATTAATTACAGGGGACATGCCAAGTAATTACACAGAGGTACCATACGGCTAAATCCAACTTTAAGGGTGTACTTAAGAAGTGAGTTGGGAGGTATGCCCTAGTGAGGGGTTTGGATCTCCGTAGCCATGTCATGGAGGAGCAAGAGCAAGCACTTAGTGTGATCGCCAGTCGAGACTTGAGCCAGTAAACCTGCGGAGAGTAACCTGCCGATTAGTTGGCAGTTCGCTTCTGGGCCCCAAAACCACCTGCAGGCCAACCACTAGCTTATCTGTCAAAAGGCAAGGCAAAACTGCAATTTCACGGCGCCATTATCGGATGTTTCTAGCTTCACCGGCAGGATGGGAGGGTTGCCGTCCACGCTGTATGGATACAGCCCAGCAGCGTAGACGCAGACTTGCAGATACCGCCGAACGAATTGAGGCCATGACAACAGGAGTCGTGGAAGAAATAGGATAACCTAAACATCATTGGGGATCTACACCCCAGAGGCCATGCTCTTCAGTGGTTCGCCTCCGCTGGTGCCCAACTTGAGGTTGTCGTTGGCATGCCCAACTCGACCAGGACGGGAAATGAAGCGGACGGGCCGGGACGGCGTGAACATGAGAGGCCATGTATCACGACCAATGCAAGGGCAGCTAGAGTCGATGCGAGGCAGCGTCGCTCGTTGCCTGTCTTAAAAGGACAGGACTGAACGAGCAAAGACACAACCGGAAGTCATCCAAAATATCATCTTCACACTGCACTTCTAGGATCACTTTTCCAATCTCATCATCAAACTCCTTCCTCACCAGCTTCCAGCACCGCCGTCGTTGAACCGGGGCGACCTATCTCTGAGCCCAGCCAAAATGACGGCACGAATTTCCACACCTGGCCCGCAAAACGCGGAGAAGAGCCATCGCGATGAAGCGGATTACGCCTTGGTCGTCCAAAGGAAGGCCAGGGGAGTTGCCGAGGCGATACGGGCGACCAGCATGGTCAAAAATGAGTCCTGGGCCAGTCCCCTCGCAGCAGCTCCTTCCGCCGTGAGCACAATGGCCATTCTCCTCAAAACCTCGAGTTCAAAGCGTGCTGCTGGCATTAAAGTCACGTCGCGAGACATCAAGGATTCGATGGGTAATGTGATCGGTGAGCTGAGGTGAGTCGCTTTCGCCGTGTCCAATCTTGAGCTTTGAATCTGGTGCTCATGCGAGATTTAGTTTCGAGCCGCTACAAAGCAATCTGGAGTATTGCTCCAGCCTTGGTCATCATGCATTCAGGAAGGCCAGAAGCACGATGGAGTATATCAACCTGATAGCAAACAAGATGATCAAAGACGGGGGCAGCATCGAAAAGATTCTCCGCGCCATCAACGAGGTGGAGGATGAGGATGACGAAGATGAAGACGATTACGACCTCTCCGAAGGCATCAAAGACATTCAAAACGAGACGGCACAATGTCTAGCAAAGATCACAGCTCTCACCGGCGATTTTGAGTTCTGGTACCGGGTGATTGAAACCCTCAAGGCAAACGTCATTGCCTGCGACAGTACGTAACACTTGCAGGCTAACTACAACCAAAGAACCAAAGGTTGGGGTTCAAGACTTTGAAAGAGGACAGCTGATCTCACAATCAACAGGACAAACGCAGAACGAAGCCAACATAAACGAAGAATCACTCCAGAAGACGGAATTCGCGAAGGAAAAGCTGGAAACAAACGGCAAGACCACGTCCGAAGTCATCGAGCAGCTGGAGGCGCAGCTACAACTTGCGAAGGAGAACGTCTCCAAAGCCCAGACACGTGTGACGGAGCTGGAAAACATAGTGCCAGCACCGGAGCCAAGCGCAGAAGACGAACAGATCTTGGCTGACACCTTGATTCCCCTTGAGAAAAGAAGTACGTTTGACACTGGTCCATGCCTGCAGATCCATCTCAGAGGGTTTATGTACTGACGCTAATAACCGCAAACAGAGAAGACTATGTTCGGTAGGCTGATACAGAAGGTTGCCGGCGAGAGTGTGGAGGAGTACAAGATCCGGGTGGAGCACCAGCGCGATGTTGAGCAACGCCGAGCCAATTTCCTCAAAGAGAGCAAGGAGAAACGCGAAGCCGAGAAGAAGGCGGCGCAGAAGGCCCTAACGGATGCTCAGGCTCGTGAGAGCTCGCTCAATAAGCAGTGGTCCAAGCTCATTGCGGACGTGAGCAAGAACAAGGAAAAGCTAGCATCAGCCAAGCACAACCTCGACAACACAGAAGCGAGGTTCAAACGACTAAGCGATGAGAAGATTGAGCTTGTGGGTCTACACAATCTAGCTCGCCATGTAGCACATGTGCTGACGATCAACAGGCGGAAATACTGGAAATCCTAGAGGAGTCAAGGCGCGAGCTGGGGACCTTGAAAGGACAGGTTGAAGAACTCGTCACCTTCTTCCATTCCATTCTTAACGAGGTCGAAGTAGCAGTCACCATGGAAGTCCAGAAAGAGATCGTCAGGCCGATCACCAACAAGCTCATGTATAATGCGCAGGGGGTCTACCAAGGGGTGAGACTAGGAAAGAAGACGAAACAGGTGAGTTGTCCTGCAGGTTCTCCCGTTCCCATGTTGCAGTAGCTAATACCCCTGGCCTTCGTACAGAACATTCACAACAGTGCTATTGGCATTCAGGGCAACTTTTGCGCCATTAAGGACATTACGGGCGTTTATGTCGTGGCTTCTGACCGTTACATTATGCCCGCTATCAAGAAGATGACATCCCTCGCTGATGCCAAACCAGAGGACTGGCCTGAACAGCGTGATGCGTTCACCAGCTGGTGCCGCAAGTCTACGGCGGAGATTGAAGCCCTAACTACGACCACTGACGAAGAAATCGTGGAGCACATGACGGAGCGCGTCAGACACCTGGAGTTGGCTGTGCGGCCCGTGCCTTTGATCGCGGGAGCTGCTCGCTGATGCCGGGCTTCATGGCTTTTTGCTGCAAGCCCATGGGGTGATGTTTCGGGGATTGGCATTTTGGATTTGCACTCTTTCTAGCTTCTTTTCGTTTATTCTTTACATAGCTACGTTCGTTGAAATGACATTCTGTCCTCTCCTACTTATCGTCAGTCAAACGACGTTCACCTTGCGAGGCAATACCGAGTTATCCGAAATTCCGAATGAATATGGTGAGATGCACTTAACGGATTGAACCTGTGAGGTAACAGGTTGTTTATTGCATAATTATCGGCAGACATTGCAATTTCTGCACGAGTCACATTTCACCGGTCCCCAGCCCATGGTTGGTTCATTGCGAGCTGTACGCCTCTCACCTGCACGCCGAGGCGCCGACTGTCAACTCAACAGTCTCGACCTCAAGCCATCGCAAAGCGGGAGAACGGAAAATGGATAACCTCCCGGGGAGAGATGCCAAGGGGTTTCAAAATACCGAGACCGTCGTGCCCCCGCCAGATGGAGAGCCCAAGCCCATGCCGCTTTTCACCCAATATCACTTCCCGCACTACGGAGATGCAGTCCTTCTTATTATCCCCACCTCAAACGAACATAAGACACAAATCCTACTTGCAGCTTTTGAATCGCAGAAGCCAGCCAACGTGTCGATGCATCATATTGTCATTCCGGCAGAATCCGAGGTTGGCGAGCAGCCGTATGACGGGGCAGGCGTCCTCGGCGCGTACAATCGCATCAGTAATGCGCTGCAAGCGCTTGCCACCTCCCCGGAGAACCAAGCCGTATTCACCAAGGAACGAATCGGCACCGTGATTGCAGCCTCCATCGAGAACTACATCCAAGCGGCCGGCGTGCCCCGCGCGGTAGACTACGGCGTGGTGATGGTGCATAATGCTACAACGGGCCAGACGGTCACCGGGATATCGAGAGGCGTCACGGTGCCACAGGCTTTTGTTGCCCGCGCCCGTTTGGATGGGTTTGAGGATGAGGATAGGAGCCACGGGAAAGTGACGGTCGGGAGCATTCTGGCAGCCGGCGTGTCGGGGCTGGATAAGGCTGACTGGCATGCCGTCCTGGCAGGCACCTCACGCTACGATTTGCTCAAGGAGACCATTGACGCACTAGCAATTCCCTGGTAGCCGTGGGAGTCCACAATACCAGATAATCCCAGGACGAATCTATTGCTCTTGTTTTTATCCATTTTTGAGTTATCAATTTCATTCTCAATCTCATTCTTGTCCTGTTTCTCAATGCATTCTCATTTACGTTTAATTAGTAAATACCTACCTAATTATCCATCTCATTGTCACTGACACTGCCAGTCTCGTTGTTGTCCATGTCATTAATACCTTTATCCCTTTATCATATCCTCATCCATCACCTAATCATCCGCTTTGTCACCATCCCTTTCATCAAATTATAAATAACCCCTTAACTCAGTTGTACATCTCATACACAACGCCGCCGTAATTACACCCTCCCCCCAACAACACGCCCGACGCCCAACACCCACCCACCCAGAAACCACCTCTGACTCAGCTTCCGACTTACCTGTCACACGCCGACTTCCGAGTCTAGCATGTCGGTTTACGTGCGCGTTTATTTGGGGTCTCTCTGGGCGGACTGAACTCCGGAGGATTGGATTCTCAACATGGGCTGTTGTTGTCATCACAATTGCTTGCGGGAGAACTGATCATTGTTACTCACAATTTCGCCCTTGAAAACTCAGCTTCAGGCTTCACAATGTTGCTTTACAACTGCGACAAGACAATTATGACAGTATGGCCAGGGTCAGCTGTGGTATCACCTTAGCGGCTTCCATGTTCTTGTTTAATACAGGATGAATCGGCGTCTCTTTTTGTACAGCATAAAGCGTAATACAGGATTAAACGGTATCGATCTGCCGTAACCAACAACGGTTAACTATCATTAGCCATATATACACGCCTTCTAATAATCCCAACAATACCGCCAAACCCCAAACACCATTAGAACTCCCGACAACCCACCCGCTCAAGACCGAAAGCCAACTGATTTCCCAACCCCTCTGCAACAACTGACCTCTCACCAAAACGCCGGAATACAAATTCTTATCCAAACTTCACTTCACAATAAAAGCCTAACCGGACAACCAACATCCAAAATTCCAAACTTACATCCCCCAATCACCACTTACCATACAGCCTCTCCGTCCTTTCGTCCATCTCCGCCGAGCCCCAATCCAAATGCCCGTACACCCATCTCCACTCCTGCTTGGGCGGCTCTTCCACCAAACCCGGCAGTGGCGGCAAGTCCTTTTTTGATCTCGCTCTCTCGTCGAGCAAGTCGTCAAACTCGCGACCGGTGGTTGGTGGGGGCGGAGGCGCAGGCGGAGGCGTCGGCGGCGAACGAACAGGAGCCACGACTGGGGGGGAATCTGGAGGTATGATATCCCCAAATTCGTCGACCTCTGGTTCCGTCGTTTTATGCGCCCGGCCCGGCTGGACATACTCTTCTGCGTTGCCTATGAGCCGATCACCGTCGAGAGGGTCAAAGAACTCCATGACCGACACTGGCCCAGGCCCAGACCCAAGCATCAGGCGGTTACGCGCCACGCGTCGCTCCAGCTCCTTGATGTCGTCGAAGTTGACGAGGAGCTCCCACAAGAACATTTTTGTGGGGTTTGTCTCGCGGGAACGGGCAATGGAGAGGTTCTCGGTCATATAGTACCGGAGGGAACGGCGGCCGACGTCTTCTGGCACGGCTGGGTCTGTGCCGGTGGTCTCGCAGGTGGGAGGGGCAGAGGACGTTGCCGCGGGCGGGAATGATGGCATGGCAGCTGTCCCTGCGGCGGTGTTCGTCGCGGAATCCGCCGCTACCCTTGCCTCCCTCCTCTGTAGTACCCACCGTCCCATGATACGACCGGCCCTGTCCCGGTTATCCCGCTCTCCAGATTCCGCATTCCAATGGCCCGCGTTCGGGTTTTCCGGATAGAGCAGCTCCGAGATCATGTTGCGCAGCGCTATGGTCTCCTGTAACTCGTTGTAGGCCTCGACGTTCTCGTCCCAGCTGGCCGACGGGCTCACGGACCATTGGGATGCCTTGATATGCTCTAGCCGCACGTCGTGCAGGTAGGTTAGGTGCGCACGGTGTGCCGGGCAGAAGTCGCGGTCGCTCAGGGGCATCCGGAGAGGGCATCGCTGCCGCGAGGCGGTGATGGCTTTGCAACGGGACTAATAGTTGCCAGCGAGTTGGGCGAGGAGGGGGTTGAGAATGGCGAAGCTCTCAGGGCGTTCTTTCTTGCCATCCTCGGCGTCGCCAAGGCCCTGGTGTCGGATGGTCAGGTCACCGGTGGCGCTGAGGGTGAGGCTAAGCCGGATGGGTGAGTATCCCTCGTCCTCGTTGACGGCACGGGTGACGGTTATAACGGCCGTCGCGCGCGCGGTCGGCAGTAAGTCAGGGGGTCCCCCACCCGACCGGTCCGGGAGCCGACCGCATAATAAGATCACATTGCACGGACAA